AATGAATATCTCTCACCTTGTTGCATTCTAGAATCTCTAAGTTGGACATTTAGCAAATCGCTTTTGAGGACATGTTTTAAGGTGAATCAACTTGTTTTCAAACCTCATCTCTTTCTTGTTCTATTTGTTTGCTTGAGGGCAAGCAAAGGTCAAGTTTGGGGGTGTTGATGTACTTGCATTTTGCATAGTTTTAGTACATCTTTTATGCATCTTTTGCATAGTTTTAGCATCCATTAGCATCATATCTTGTTCCTTTTCCCTTCTTATGCATTCATAGTAGTTTTAGGTTGCATTTGCATACATGTGCATGTTTGATCCTTGAAATAGGTCTTTTGGAGCACTTTGGAGCATTGGGACGTGAGGAGCAAGGAAGGACTTGGTGCATGGACGCAGCTCAGCCACACACGCAAGGACGAAGGAGGAAGCCATCTTGAAGCCAGCTCGACCACTACTCGACCAACCGGTCGAGTTCCTCAACTCGATCGAGCTGAAGAGTCAACAGTCAAACCCGAAAAATGTTGCTTCCCCTTTGACTCCCCTTTGACCCTAAACCTAATCCTCTTGTATTTAAAGGCTTAGCCACGAAAAAGACAACAATCTTTAGCTTATTTTGTTTTAGCTTTTCTTTAATTTTGTATTTTACTTTTTGCAACCTAAGCCTCTCTTTGTGTTCTTGAGCTCTTGCTCTTGAACCTTAGATCTAGGCTTATCTTCTTTGTATTTGCACTTGCTTATTTCAATAAAAGTTCTTTAGTTTCATCTCCTCTTTCATTTATGTCTCTTTCATTGCATTTGATTGTGTTTTCATTCATGTGTAGTGAGTAGTTCCTTTAGGGTTTAAGATGGGCTAGACTAGAGGATCTTATGCTTAATCTCTTTGCTTATGTTCTTAATCTAGAAATCTCTCTCTTTTGGACAAAACCTTAAGGCACACACCACTATCCATGGTGTGTTGATCATAGGCGATTTTCCTCATGGAAGTGTTGGGAAATCGCTTGAAAAGGTCCACTAAGAGCTCCAATATGCTTGCTCTCGAAATGGAGTTTATAGGTGTTGGATGGGTTAGTTTGAGCAATGATCCTACTGCCTCTAAGGCTTGATTCTCACTGGCTAACCCCCTGTTTCTGAGATCTTGCCTTAGATGATAGCTTTCACCTTGGGAAAGGGTTAGCTAGGCTTGAGAAGCTCAATACCAAGAGATAGCCTTGAGTACAAGTGTTAAGAGCAAGATTGATTAAGTATAGCTTCCCCTAGTCGCAAGACCCTGTCTTAGACCCTAATTTCGCATTAGTTTAAAGTTCCTGCTTTATCGCTTTTTACGCTAACTCGACCCTCAACTCGATCGAGCTTGGTTACTCTGTTCCACTCGATCGAGCCCTTGGTCGAGCTGCTTTCATTTACTGCTTTCTTTTACTTTTGCATTGCATTTCATTTCATTAGGTTGTAGAGTTACTTATCATCTTTTTACTGTCTGCTTGACTTTCTTGTGTTTGCATAAATTCATAAGAGCAACATCTCACCCTTTGGATTGATAACCTCTTATACTACATCGACTATGATGGTTAAGGGAATTGATTGATTGTGATTGCACCATACCATCTCATCTTCATTCACCACTGTTTGCATTCCACCTCATATCATTTCACATATCATTTCATATCATCACATCACCCACAAATCATATCATCAAGCTCTCCTTCAGTGATTGTGCATGTGGTCTTCCTTGCAAAGAAAGAGTTTGCAAGCGCCTTGTGCACATATCTAAGGACTGGGCTCCTGATTTGAGCAGCCTTGGATCTAGAGGAGGAGTACACACCATCAGCAATTGTAGTCTATATTCCTTGAAGCTCATCTTTGTCAAAGCTCTACGCAGCTCCACTTCCATAGTTGAACCCAAACAAGACTTCCAGATGCCTAAATGTGACTTGTCTCTCAACTCCATCAGCTAGGAAGGGGATCCAACCCAAACCTCTGTCCAACTCTCTCCTTTCAGCCTTGGTGTACATGTGATACCTCAATGAAGCAAGGAACTCACAAGTCAGCTATAAGAAAGGAACTTCGCCAAGGCCATGTTCTTGAGGATTAACTCCACATCCTTAAAGATCCCAAGCGCCTTCATGGTATCATCATGTGGGTACATTTTTTTCCACAAACTCCATGGAAAAGAGAGCATCATAGTGGTCTTGGAAGTTGGGGAGGCTATCATGTTCCTCTTCTTGTGCTTGCTCAACTTCCTCCATTTGTTCATCTCCATCAGCCTCCTCAATCTCTTCCTCTTGCTCACTCTCCACAACCTCTTCTTCTTCTTCTTCACCCTCTTCACTCTCAACCTCTTCATCTTCTTGGGCGCTTTCCTCAGCCTCAGATTCTCTATTCTCCTCCTCAATACTAAACTCATCTTCTTCTTGGTCCCTCTCTATTCCTTCCGTTGATCTAACATACTCATCTCCATTTGAATCATCTATCCTCTTCTTCATTCTCCTTAGTTCCCTTGCTTTCACCTTTTTCCCTTGAGTTGCATAGCTTCCTTGCCTCTCACCATCTTGATTATGTTGCTTTTCCAACTAGGTCCCCTGACATTCATCAAAGAGTGAAGGAATTAGAGCTACAATGACTTATTCGGCTAACTCTATCAAGTAACTCGATAGAGTTAAGTGTGAAGTACTTGGGTCGTGAAACCAGCTCGATCGAGCTAACCCGGAACAGAGGAAACCAAATCAAAATCAAACATCAAGGGCTAGATAGGATGCTAAACAACAAAATTGAACCAAGAACAGCGAGAACTCAGAACAATAAGCCATCTAAATGAAGTTCAAAGCATTTTAACCAATATGCCAAACTCAAATTCAAGAGATTAAGCACATGCAACAATTTCTTAGGTGAAACAATGGTGAAATGAGACAAGTTCAAGGATTTCTCTAAACAAAAGAGGTTTAAGAATGAAAATAACTCAAGAACAAGCTCAAACAAAACACATGCAAGCAAAGTTTCAACGAAAGCGATTTAAGCAAAAAGGGTAAGTAGGAATCAAGCAATAAATTAAGAGAGTTTAGAGGCCAAAGCTTGCCGCGATTTTGGCTAATCTAGACTCAGGACTGGAGTACATAAAAATTGGGCAGATTAAGCAATGGGAAATCGTAAAACTTAGGGGAAAAAGAGAAGAAATTTCTTGGTCTCTTAAAGAGAAGGAAGAGAGAATAGAGAGAGAGACTTGTGCTTCAGAGTTGTAAGTGTGTATTGGAGATATCTTGGTGAGCAAGGCGAACCAAGTATTGTGGGCCATTGAAGCCCGTTTATGAAGTGAAACCTGTGAAGCCCAACCGAAGAATATTCTATAGAAATACTATTGTGATAAGGATTAGGAAGATTTACATTATTTGGTGTTATCAAGAATGTTAATGTTAACCCTATATATATATATGGGTCTTATGCTCTTATATCAATAACAAAATTCAATAATATATTCCCTTCTATAATATTTATCATGGTATCAGAGTAATCGATCTGAAAACCCTAATATTTCTCCTCTTTAAGAAAGCCTCTCGGCAGCTTCTTCCTCTTGGTTTATTTTTTTTTCCTTTTGAAGAAAGCCTCTCGGCCACTTCTTCTACTTCTACTTTACGTTTCACGTCACGTTCGTCCGCAGCTTAAGCCTATTCTGGTTGACTCAATGATTTGTAAAAGTGAAATCCTTTAAAAATCACATCTTGATTGGTTCGTTCAGTTTCGATGAGGTTTTTCTCATCCATCATCATCATCATCATCATCATCATCATCTATCCTTTGAATCAACATGATGTCGATTACTCATGTTGATTGATAATAATAATCCTAAACGGTTCTCCGTTTTTTTTTATCCTACTTCAAGAACCCTACGATCGGGTATAAACATCGATTACTCAACAGCGGAGTATAACGCTGATATTTTGAAGATTTGTCCAATCTCACACGTGTTACCACCTATGAGCTTGCGCGAGGGTATTAGGAGATTGACGAGATCGACCATGTCGGAGATAAGGAAATCAAGAAGGATCTAGAAGATTGATATTTGGCAATATCTAAGATTAGGAAACTTAGCTTTTATCTTAAATATATATATTCCATATTAGTTTAGGAAATTAATTTGCTTTCTTCCCTATATAAGTTTATGCATCTTGTAACATTATTTTCATGCATCTTGTATTTTTCTAATTGAAAAGTCTAGGGATTTGTTATTTTGTTCTTAGTTTATGTTTTGATTATGGGTTTTGGCTTTATTGCTTACAAGCTTTGATTTTTCTTTGATTTATTTATTTGATGCAAGAGTTGAGAGCTATTAGAATAATCTTTTGATTAAGGGTTGTGACTTTCATGGGTTTATTAGTTTAATCTTTTAAGATTGATTCTTAAGTTTAGAATTTCTCAAAGTTTTTGGTTTTCCCTATTACGGGGGAGTTTGGTTATGAGTTTTGGGATTTTATTGGAGCGCTCATGTTTTTAGGTCATTTATCTTTAGTCCAATTGATGGGCTGTCCGCGACAAGGACGATTATTTGTGGAATTGCAGGATTTTTCTTCCACGGGATGTTATTATTCCCTTTCTTTCAAGACCAAAGACGATCATGTTCCATCCCTATTGACTTGTATTGCCATCCTCGACATGGTCCACGATATAGGTGTTCCGCATTGTGACTGCACATTTTGCAGTTCGCGTCCACCTTTGTCGTGCGGGGGAGTATTGGAGATATCTTGATGAGCAAGGCGAACCAAGTATTGTGGGCCATTGAAAGTCGTTTATGTAGTGAAACCCGTGAAGCCCAACCGAAGAATATTCTATAGAATCAATCTTAAAAGATTAAACTAATAAACCCATGAAAGTCACAACCCTTAATCAAAATATTATGCTAATAGCTCTCAACTCTTGCATCAAATAAATAAATTAAAGAAAAATCAAAGCTTGTAAGCAATAAAACCAAAACCCATAATCAAAACATAAACTAAGAACATAATAACAAATCCCTATACTTTTCAATTAGAAAAACCCATGCTAATAGAGTTAACGAACACCAAAACCCAACTTAAGAGAAAGAATAAACTATTTAATGTAACCCACGATTATCATCTTCATCATCACTATCCCCTTCCTCGTCTTCTTCACCCACGATGATCATCATCATGAATACCTAAACTAATGCGGAAACTTTAATTTAGATCCACAAGGATCATCTGCTCTGATACCATGACAAATATTATAGAAGGTAATATATTATTGAATTGTGTTATTGATACAAGAGCATAAGACCCATATATATATATATATATATATATATATATATAGGGTTAACATTAACATTTTTGATAACACAAAATAATATAAATCTCCCTAATCCTTATCACAATAGTATTTCTATAGAATATTCTTCGGTTGGGCTTCACGGGTTTCACTTCATAAACGGGCTTCAATGACCCACAATACACCAAGATATCTCCAATAGTGTGTGAGGGAGAGAGAGGTCTGAGGCGATTGAGTCAAAGAGGAAAGGTGGGTGAGACGATGTGTGATTTACCTCTATTTTACCTGCTTTTCTTATGGTTTTACTATGCTTTTCATAAGGTTTTTAATGGCTTTCTGATCTTATGGTTTTACTATGATTTTCATAATTTATTTATGGAATTATAGTACTTAGAGTCTAAACAGGTCAAAAGATGCATTTTGAAGCAAAACACAGGATTTGGACTTTCAAACCACTCCAGGACGTAGCATCAGCATTAGAAGAGCCTTAAAAATATTCTTCTCAATGGACTTAATCAAATCTAGTTTGAGGCGATGAATACGTGAGTTAGCTTTGCAACGCAACTGGAATCATTCGGTTTGGCCGAGTAGATTGGGAGATATCTCTATTTCCCTGAGACATATACCAAGGAGCTTTATCGGACTGCATCAATACATCAAATGGCAAGCAACGGATTGGAACTTTAAAATCAATGGATTTCATTGAAACGCAACACCAAGATAGGCAGATGAGTTAGTGTCCCAAAGCCGTTGGAAGTATGCAATTTATATGAGCCGTTTAGGAGATATCACGTTTGTATTGAAGACTGGTCCACAGCCGGCCGAACGCACTCGGCCGGACAGGAAAGCAATTGGCTTCGCTCGGCCTTTACCAGGACAGACCCGCACGCCCGCATCGGTCGACCAGGAAGGAAATGGACCACGGTCGACCCAGAATATCACCTGAAGGCCGACCCCGACGGCCGACCACATCCCTTACACGGTCGACCCGAGGTCTGCGAACAAGAAGTCCACTTATGCAGTTTTGACTATTCTCGGCCCGTTTCACCTCAACCGACTTGTGGAAGACCTAGGGCACTATAAATACTCTTTTCTAGCCTCAATAGAAGAGAGAGCCGCAAGAGAGAGACGCACTAGGGAGAAGAGCCACAAGAGAGAGACGCACTAGGGAGCTCCCCTTAGAGGTAATCTCCATTGTTTTACTTCTTTCTCATTTTTTTTCTTAAGGGAGAAGATCCCTTCTTTGTATCTCCACATATAGAAGATTTCTAAACCTTTTTCTTCTTATAATACTATGATTTCTTTATCTGATTTGTGCTTGTTTACTTGCATCATGATTGAGTAGATTTCTAGTTAGGTTGTGTGTTTCAAAGAGTTCATGAATCATAAGGTTGCTAAATTCGAATAAGGGTTTATCATATAGATCTTCACCTTTACTTAATCTCATTGTTGCATGCTTTTCTGATCAACTAGCATCAGATCTTAGGTTTCATATACACTAGGTCTTGACCCGTGCTTGCGAAGCACGGGATGTTGTGATTTTTATAAGTATATATATATATATATATATATATTTGTGATATATAATGTTAAATTAGTCTTATTTTGATTTTCTAAGGATGATATGAAATAATTATGCGACCATTAATGTTATTTTTGGGTGATCAAAATTAAATATTGTGTATTTGAAGCTAGATTATGACCCCGAGAGAACAAAACCAAACCGAAATTGAAGTCTGAATAATATAACATAAATATGTGTCGTTTTACGGGTTTGCTTGGTTTGATTTGGTGAGTTATAATGTTATATAATATTTCAAATTGGAAAACCGTATTCGTTATTTCCGTTTCTTCGGAAAGTTAATTCACCAAATCTAAAACTTTACGATTAGAAATAATTACGAGATGTGTAATTTTTTATAAGAAAACTTTAACTATTGACATTGTAATTATGTAAATAATAGTATATATATTTGTGATATGTAATGATGAATCATTATTATTTGATTATCTTAGTATGAGATAAAATAAATATGTGATCATTAATTATATTTTTTGGTGAATTACAAATTGTTATAGTTTCATGACTTAATGCTAGATTCTGGCCCCGAGTGAACCAAATCTAACTGTAACAAAAGTCTGAATAATATAAAGTAAATATGTGATCATTTGGTGAGTTAAAATGATGTACAATATTTCACGTTTGACCACATATGTTCGTTCTTTTTGTTTCTTTTAACCCAAATTTGAAAAAAATGTTGGTTACGACCCGTGATGTTAATAACATTTGGTTAACTAAATTTGTGAACTTTACTCAATTGAACAAATGTTGGTTCTCACCCGTGATGTTTTTAACCTTGGGTTAATTAAATTTGTGAACCTTAGTCAATTGAACAAATGTAACTATAACACAGTAAGTTGTGAACTTGAGTCAATTAAACAAATATTGGTTCTGACACGTGATATTGTTAACTTTGGGTTAACTAAATTTGTGAACTTTAGTCAATTAAACAAATGTTGGTTCTCACCCGTGATGTTGTTAACGTTAGATTAATTATATTTGTGAACTTTAGTCAATTGAACAAATGTAACTATAACACAGGAAGCTGTGAACTTCAGTCAATTAAATAAATATTGGTTCTGACCCAATTTTTTTATATAGAAAACTTAGTTCCTTCGTAATTAGAGTTTTGTAAATGAGAACCATTTTAAGTTCTTAAAAATTAATACACAATATTTAATTTTGATCATTCTTTTGAGCGAAAGTATAATACTTTTATCTTCTTTTCGGTACAATATTTTTTATTTTGATTAAAACACAAAGTGGGGACAATATTTTTTAGACTGTCATTCTTCTTCCATTTTCTCTCACGAACACCGCCGTCTCTCTTTCTCGTATCCTTCCTCTTCACTTTATCTCTCAGTTCCAGTCGATTGACTTTGCAGATCACTTTTTGTCGAGATCTTCCTTGTCGATCATTAGTATCTCTTGATTTGGCTCTAGAAGGACCTTCAATTAAACTATTTCAGAGGAGAAGACAAATCGTCAAATTCGGAGCTTGTCACCCAGAGACCTAGCTTGTCAAAGAATATGTCCGGCGAATGATACAACACTGTCGAGGCTCAAATCAACCTAAGATCGGATTACTAGATGCGCGGTAAAGCAATCAGCATTAGTTAAGTGCACAAGACGAGACAAAGACTCTATATAATCCCTAGCTAATCATCGAAATCAAAGATCATGCAAGCAACTCATTGATAGTAACCCTAGCAACCTAACTAGTGGATTACTCAGACATGATCAAAGCAAACACACATAGAGATGAAGAAAACATGATTGCAATAAAACTTAGAGTAGGAAATCGAAATACAAGGGCGGCTCTCTTTCACAAGAGGCTAAAAAGCTATATATATAGTGCTAGGTCTTTCAGAGGCGGCTTAGGGTTAAGCCGGGCTTGAAAATATGAAACGGGCTTCAAAACGGGCTTCGGGTCGACCGCGGCGTTGGACGGTCGTGGGACGGACGATCGGAACGGTCGTGGCCGGACGGATTCGTGGTCGGCCGCTGTGGTCGGACGGATGAAGTTGGCCGATGTTCTCGGCCGGACGCGGGACGTCTTTCCCGGCTCGGACGCATCGGCCGTGGTACGCGAGAGGCGCGCGGCCGCGAGGCTTGCTTCCCGGCTCGCGCGCATGGTCGTGCGCGGTGTGAGTGGTGTGGCGTGGCCGACCGCGGGACATGTTTCCCGGGTCGTGATGCGTATCGGCCGGTGGTTTGAACTTTGGCCGAGACTTCAGACGGACGGATGATTTGGCCGAGCGGAACATTCGTTCCTCGGCCAGCCGGACTGCGCGGTTGGGCGCTGATTCTCGATAGAGCCGTCTGGACAGTCTTCACTCTTTTGGTTATAACTCCTTTTCTACTCATCCAAATGAGGCCGTTCCAGTTGCGTTGGAAAGTTAACTCAATCAGAGCACGCAGGGAACTGGTCTTGATGAAATCCATTGAGTAGATCTTTTTCTGGGCCCTCTTAAAGTTGGTGCTTGTGCATGGAGCGGCTTGAAGTGCAAATCCTATGGTTTTGCTCCAAAATGCATCATTTCACCTGTTTAGACTCTAGACACTATAAACACAGTAAAACTACCTTTTTAGATAGAAAACCTGCCAAAAACCATTAGAAAACAATACTAAAACAGTATAAAAAGCATGTAAAATAGAGGTATATCAACTCCCCCAGACTTAGATCTTTGCTTGTCCCCAAGCAAAAAGAATCTAAATCCGTGAAAGAGGTTTGAAAACGTGGAACTCCCTTGCTCTTTTGAATATCCTGTGAAAGGTTCCTTTCCTGTATTCCACTAAGAACATAGACAACATAAGGTTAGCTTCACATACACCCTGCAAGTTTAGCGAACAATACCAACCCAACTAGTCTCATCCAGCAATCCAAACTCTCTATTGCTAACCTCTTGCATAAATTTAAAGCGTGAATTCTTTATCAAGGGGACATCGATCAATTGAACTTGTTCTTACCCACTTGATCTTCTCCAAGATTGTCTTTAAGTGCAATGAGTTCTTTTCCTCTCTCTTTCTCACATCAGAACTTTGAAAGGTCAATTTCTCCCTACTTTTCTAGGGTATCATTTTATTTTTTCTATTGACCCTTCTTTCAACCACAGGATAAGTCTTTAGCTTGTTCCTTGTTTGACTAAGGTATTCCATAAGACATGAAGGTACAGACATATGCATTCCTCATGCTTACTTGTTTTCCTTGTGCTCTTTGAGCTTTTTCTCATAAATATTACTTACCATTTGGGATGGGAGAGAGAGGAGAACTCTTTAAAGATTAGACAAATCTTATTGAAAATCAAGCAAGGAACTGTCGACATGTATGCCAATCCCCTTGACAAGAGTATTAAGATTGATTAAGGGAGGTTAACTCTAGATTGCTTGGTTACCTTAGAAATTTTGCTGAGCTAGCATGTCGATCCACTGTAAGAGCTTCTGTTAGGCTTGTGCCTTTAGCTGGTTTCTGCTCTAGGGTCATGGATTGTTAGCACAACACTCTCAATTCTCAAAGCAAGTTCATAACTTCCGGACTGGTTTTTGACTCAATAAAACTTTTTGAAAAACATGAAACAAAGTGAATAAAACATAAGAAAAGAAAGAAAAATGCATTAGTAACACAATAAAACTCCCCCCAGACTTAACTTGCACCGTCCCGGTGAAAGCAAATCACATTAAGGTGAGAGGTAATATTCAAAGTAAAAGAAAAATAAAGAAATTCATTAAAATGAGATAGGGATAGAAAATGGAGATTTGTAAGTGTCCATTGCACTAAGTACCACTTGAGATGACTATGTGTGGCAGTGAGAAGAACTCTCTTCCTCATCTATGGGGTCATCGCCTTCTGAACCAAGCTCTGAGTCTAGTGAGAACTCACCAAGGTCAGGCTCATATGGCTCTCTAGCGGTGGAAGAAGGGCGAAAGAGTCTCTCCGGTGCAATGTGGCGAACTACACGAACTAGGCGTGAGATGAAGCGAGATTGGCATTCCACGATCTTCTCCAGCTTGCTTACACGGTCTAGAGCTTGGTCGCGGCCATGCCAGTAGTGAGAACATGGCGTTCTTGGTGGCGGCGTTGAGTCTTGACTGCATGCTGAAGTGTGCGATAGGTGAGCATGGGGAATGATGGTTTCTCACTTGATGGAACATAGAAGTCTTCCTCCTTGGGCTGGAAAGTGACAACACCTGAGCGTAGGCTTGGGATGTCTTCATGTGGCAGCAAGACAAGGGAAGTGTTGGCTGGACCAATTGGAAACTCATAGCAAAACCGAGTTGGGTCTTTAGTCCAACGGTTTAGGAAGTGGATTGCTGAAGAGCATGGAGATCCAAAGGGGTTGGCTTGGGTAGTGGCTCATAGTTGGGAATGTCAATCCCCACATGTTGTACTATGGCCGTGATAAGCCTCCCAAAACGAACACAAAGCTTCTTGTTGCCTTCCAAGTCTTGAGCTAGCTTCCTCACATTGATAATGTCTTGGCAAGTAAAAGTCCAAGGTTGGCCTTGTACTCATGCTTGATGAATGGTGTGGTGAGGATGTAGAACTCATCAGTTGTGACCTTGTTGGCTTCTTGTTTGCATTGGAAAGTGGTGGAGATGAGGCGGTGCACATAGCGAATGGCTGGATGAGTGATTCTAGACACCTTTGATCTTGAAGGCAAGAATGGTTCATTGGCAAAGTGTGTCCAATCAGCAAAGGCAGCTTGTTTCCTCTTTGAGTTCTCCTTGAAGTCATGTGCTGTCTCATTGGGAAGTCCAAAGAGTTGGCATAGAGCTGAGATGGAGATGCGCCCATTGGCATCGCCTATCTTGAAGAGTAGGAGTCCATCACCAGCTGGTTGGTCTCCATTGTGGTTGGGAAAGGCAAGAGCTACTGTGGAGAGGAACTCCTTGGTGAGTTGAGTACTCACTACACTCTAGCTTGAAGAGCTTGCTCAAGCCTAGCTTCCTTATGTACCATGTGACATCATCTCTTATCTTGAGAAGGTCAAGGGTTGGGTGTCCATCTTCACACAAGGTTCGATGTTCACCTTCTCCATTGCCTTCTTGCACTTTCTTGGGTCTTGGATTTGTTCTCCAACAAAGCTTACAAGTGCCCAATCATCTTCTCCTTCTTGGACTCTCCACATGTTCTTGACTTGCATCAATGGAATGTGGTGAAGTTGGTATTGCTGCTCTTGCATTGGAGCTACTACTCCCTAGCTTGATTTCTTCATGAATGGGTTCTTCTTCTTCTTCATACTCTCCTTTTGTCTTTGCCATTGGGTACCTACAAGAGCAAATTCTTGGGAAGAAACATGAGTTTGTGATTAATGCAAAAGAAGATAAGCTAATTGAGTTGTAATAATGATATGGAATAATGGAACAACTCAAGGCTTAATCATGAATCAAAGAAACAAAATGGAAATTTCACTTTTTCAAAGTTAATTTTCGGATTTTACTGTTCATCTCAAGATTATGGTGCTTAAAATCAAATTTTTAGCAAATCAAGAGAAATTGAGTTTCTAATCCAAGTAATCACTAGATAAACTAATGAATTGAAGCATGCTAAGCAATTTCACCTTTGAATAAGGGGTTTGGAATGCCCAATAAGTTTTGTGAAAAACTATTCAATTGTGAAATTAAACTTCAAATAACTCTAAACCACCTAGGTTCCACCTAGCTAAGTTCATTACAAGACTAATAAGATGCAATTTCAAGTTTAGACAAGAGTTTAGACCAAACAAGAAACTTATTGAAATTTCGATCTTGCATAAACATGGGATTAGAGTTAGAAGACATACCTTGTGTGTTGAAAAGTGAATAAGGTTGCAAGAGCAAGTAAATTCCAATTTAGAGTTATGAACAGTAAAAGTTTTGAAATCAAAGCTCTTAGGGCATCTCCATCGCTAAAACCATTTTTTTTGTTTTTAACAATATTTTATAATAAATTTTCCATCAACTTTATATTAACAACTTTTTGTGTTGGATCTAATTTTTTTCTTCTTCCATCGGTAAAATCTTTTACATGGTTCTTTAGAAAAAACGTTATATTTTTCAAACACTAATCGTCCCATCTTCGTTCTAATTCCTTGATCTAGCTGATGTCTGAACTCCATCATTCACCTTCAACACATAAACATCAACAAACTTTTACAATTTCCACTATAAAAAAGATTCCAGAAAATGTGAAAATACCAACAACTCCTCAAATACATTCAACAGAAGAGAAACAATTCATTATCTACAAAACCATCAAAAACCCTAACATATTTTGTATTCAATCCCCACGAATTTAGCAGTTTCTTGTGTTTGTGATCTTTTACTATATTACTTTCCCTTTCTATCATTCTCTCCAGTTTTTAAATAATTTGGAATATGTTTAAACAGGTTTATCTAGTGAATACAGAACACTTACAGTTTTTTCATTTTGGAGAGAAGGAGTCTTCAAGAAGATGGTTAAATTGGTGGTATGGAGGTACTTCTCTGAAAGGAGACCGCCCATTACAGTCCCATAACTACACGCCAAGGACCAAAAAGATGAGTGGTTTGATTAAGTCAGTTTCTAAATAGGAAGAAGATCAAACAAGAGTCTTATTTTACCTGCAACAAGCAGTTTAAGCAAAAGCCTGACAGATAAATAAAAATGATAATCAATCATAAGAACAGAGAAAAGATATATCATCTCTTACTTACCTTCTTCTTTTAAGTCAGTGAGGTATTTTAATGAATCAAAATAACCATCATTCGCATTATCCCACCTATTATTCCAAATTACAAATTAAGCAAATAAGCTACAGAAATTGCTAGACATTACTAAGAAGATAGAACACAAATCAACTACTAGCAAAGTAAGTGAAGAAAGAAACACACCAGTGAAACTGAAGCATATCAAGAGAGGCAACATCCATTGCATAAATTTTCAATCAGTCTGATCAATTTTCAGTACGAGAATTGCATAAACATAGTCTCTAGGAACCCATCCATAAGCATAAACACAATCAATTGCATAAACCTTTAACAGAGAAGAAATATACTTTTCTTTTCCAATCAAAGTCCAGAGGAATCCCCAAGACAACAGCTGCACGATCAGTTTGTCGATGGACGACGGAATACAATCGGACCAGGCACCTTGTTTGTATCGCCACAGCGAGACGAGAGAGATAGAGACTAAGAGAGACAGAGATAGAGCAAAAGAGAGAGACAGAGAGACAATCTTCTCCACTTCTCCGATCGCATCGGATAGCGGAGGGACTGATCGATGGTTTGACAAATCGCCTTGTTCGTATCACCGAGGGACCAGAGAGAGAAAGAGAAATAGAAAATGAGTGATTTTTTTTAAAAAAAAATTGTTTTGTTAAACGCTAATTTACCCATGGCGTGTCGGGTTCTAATATTAATACTTGGTACTTACATAATATCCGAGTCTAAACTTTTTCTCTGCTTAAAACAATTTTTTAATCATTTTAATCAGTCAAATCATTTTAAAACCTTTTTTACAACCCGCGATGGAGATGGTCTTAGAGTTCCTCTAATGGAGTTTAGGGTTTTGGAGAAGAAAGAGAGGTTCTTGTTGTTTTCAAGGGAAAGGTAAAGTTATAAAGTCAATCCATTAATTTTCCTTTTCAAATTCGAATTTATTGAAAATCGGTTTAAGTTGGTTTAGGATTGGTTAAAACCGGTTTGAATTTAATGAAAAGGGGACTTACCTTGGCCGAGAAAAGTTTGGGCCGATGGCCGATGGATTTTGTCGCGGTCGAGCGATTTGGTCGGCCAAATCGCGAATGACGAGAAATTCGGCCGAGGCCGAATGTTTGCTTCCCGGATCGACCGTACGGTCGGTCCGTTCCGATACGTGATTCGGCCGATCGCGGCCTATTCCTTCCTGTCGTGCGTCCGCGCAACGGTTTTTGTCGCGCTAAGTTCGTCCGGCCGAGCATACCGTTCCTTCCCGGATCGACATCTTCTGCGCGTCCGCGGCCAATGGTTTTGGCGCGGATTGTGTTTTCACACCTTTTTCTCCTTCTATCCTATCTTAAAACAAAGAAAACACAAAAGCAAAACAAAAACTAAGAAATTTAAAGAAAGAAAAGTAAAAGTACCTCATGGGTTGCCTCCCATGCAGCGCTTGTTTTAAGTCTTTAGCTTGACTGTAAGGCTTGGCGCTCAGGAGAAGATGGAGACAAGAGGCATCTTTGATCCTCCAAGTCTTTTCTCCTTGCAATGAGTATCTGGTGGGTGATTCACAGCTGGATAGACAATCTCTCCATGAATGTCCCTTGGCACAAATGCCTTAGGAAAAAGTTGTAGAGTTCTTGTAACTTTCTCCTTGAATCCTTCTAGATTCTCATCAATAAGCTCCTTTGGGAATAGAAGCTTCATGTTGCGGCCAGACCTAGGCTTTCTAACCTTCTTCTTGGCTTGGCCTCATCTTCAATCTTGGATGATCCCTTGGGCGGTTTTGGTGTAGGGGCCTTAGTCTTACTCCTTGCTTGTGTGGCAAGCTGCTTGGGCTTAGGAATGGGATCTTCCTTGATGTATCTTCAGTTTCTCCTTCTTGGGGTGGCTTCAAAGTAACTTTCTCCTCTTGGACCATGTCAACAAAAGAGTTCTTTGTTGAACACATAGGGAAGAACATACCCTTGTTCACCTTGTTGAAAGAGATTCTTTGATTGGGGAAATCAAATATGGCACCCACAGTAGACAGGAAAGGGGTTCCAAATATGAGAGGTCTATGGCTACTCTCTCTCATTTCCACAATCTGAAATCGGTGGGGATAGAGCAATTTCCAATCTGCACCATCACATTAGGCACAAAGCCATAGGGGTTTGTGAGAATGAATCAGCATAGTTGATGGAGATGGATGATGGCTGATCTTGGTGAGGCCTATCTTGTCAGCTATCCTCTTAGACATGATGTTCACATTGGCTCCTGTGTCACACAAAGATTGCTCAAGAATGTTACCTTTGATGATACAAGGCACAACAAACTTTCCTGAGTTATCAGTCTTGGGGATAATCTTTGGGAAGAGTCTTCTCTTTCTAGCTCGATTGGACTCTCTCTCTGGGTAATCTCTTCAGGCCAAATCATGCAATCAACAGTAGGTTTTGAAAGCATCCATTCTGGAACTTGGTCTTCAAATCTTTCTTCTATGGCGGCTGAGTTGCAAAAGGACTTCTTGGATTCAGCTTCCTGTCTCTTAACAGCTTCCATAGTTTGGTGACTTGAGTCTCTAGTTTCTTCACATGAGTGGCAACAGCATCATACTTGGTGTTGAGATTGCTGAACAAAGTGTCCATCTTCTCATACATCTCTTTATTCCTTTTCTGGCCATCCATGATCTGTTGGAGGATTCCTTCAAATCTTCCACCTTGTTGGTTTGGAGGAGCTTGATTTGGTGAAGAAGCATATGGCTCCTTGGGCGGATATGATGATCTCTGCTCATACCCTTGCCTTGGCTGAAATTGACTTCCTTGAGATTGGTAAGGAGGTCTTTGTTGTTGTGGATACCTTGGAGGATACACTTGGTCTTGAGGATTCTCCACATTGGGGTTTCTATAAGACATGTTGGGGTTTGGGCGATAGCTTGGATTGTATCCCTTGTTCCCATAGTTTCCAATGTAGTTCACATCTTCTTCATTGGCTTCATTAGAGAAATCTCCCATGCATTCTCTTGATGGGTCTTCATTAGCATCACTCATCCCTTCTATTGCATTGATATGCTTGAGCTGTCCCTTAAGAACTTGAGCCATCATGTTCTTGAGTTCAGTCATTTGAAAAGAATCAGGGGAGCTAGTAGTGGTGCGGCTTGAGCGGTCATAATCAGGACAGTTGTTACAATCACTAGCTGCAAGATTCTCAATAAGAACCTTAGCTTCATCAACAGTCTTGGTCATGAAGTTTCCATTGCTTGCAGTGTCCAATGAAAGCTTGTACTTGTGGTCTATGCCACGATAGAAGATGTTCCATAGGTTTCCCTCATTGAAACCATGATTAGGGCAGTCCCTAATGTACTCCTTGAATCGGTCTAGCGCCTCATAGAAAGATTCATTGTTGGCTTGGCGAAAGTTGGAGATCTTGTTCCTTACAGAAACTGATCTTTGCTTGGTGTAGAAGTGGTTGATGAAAGCGGCCTTGTACTCATCCCAAGTGGTAATGGAGTGAGCTGGCAGAGACTTCAACCATCTTGAAGCTTTGTCGCCAAGAGAGAATGAAAAGAGCTTGCACTTCAAGTAGTCAGCTGAGACTCCATTGGATCTAGTAGTGCTGCAAATCTCTTCAAAGTTTTCTATGTGATCAAGAGGATGCTCGGCTGGAAGGCCATTGAATTGGTTCTGTCTAACCAATGCTATGATCTGAGGCTTGATCTCATAGTCATTCCTTGCAGGAAGTGGTGGATGGATAGGGTTTCTATCCGTGAAGAAAGCATCGGCAGAGTCATAGTCTCCGATTGTTTGGTGCGCTTGAGGTTGCACATTCACATCTCCAGCAGGATCTTGTGGATTAGGAGGAGGAGGAGGTGGATCTCTTCCTTCTTCATTAGCGCGCGCCACTTCAGCGGCGTGAGCGCGAGCTGCTTCGTCGGCCATCTCTTGGGCTTTTGCTTCCTAAGTAACTTCTCGAGCTTGTCTATCTCTGGATGTTCAACTAGGTTGTCCTTGTTGGACCTCCTAGTCATGCACCTGAAAAGATCTAGGAAACAAACTAAATCAAAAGGGAAAAACAAAAGCAAAAGCAAAAATCAAAGAAAAGAAATCAAAAACTGAAAATTCAAAAGCAAAAGAAGCAAAACAGGAAAGGTTCTAGACTAGATCCTAGTCGAGCCTTCAAAGGTACTGCTGCAGTCCCCGGCAACGGCGCCAAAAACTTGATGTGAGTCAGGTTTTACCAAACTCCTAGACCTCTGCAAGTGCACAGATCGCGGAAGTATGGGTATCGAACACAAGGACTGGCTATTGAGTACACTTTGAAACTATGGATTTTGGATCAAGCTAAAACAAAAGTATGATTGAGGTTGTAATGGTGAACCGAACTAGCAAGTATAACGAGGTTGTAAATCAATAAGGAAAAGCGCTAGGTCATAGGGGCTAATCGCAGAGAAGCAAGCAATGATCAATGAAACAATGATAGATGAATTGATTAGGGATATTGGGATATTAAGAACCGTCTAGAACACAGATCACGAATATAAAACCATTCCACTTTCGAGGCTCCGGCTCCTTTGTTAATCTACCTAGTCGCTAAACTTTTGGTATGTCCCTAGGTGATTAAATCAAGCTTTAGAATGAATAGGTTCTGATACAGTTCACTAGATTATAGTAGATCAACTTTCGCAGTCTAAGAAACCTAGCTTGTCAAAGAATATGTCCGGCGAATGATACAACACTGTCGAGGCTCAAATCAACCTAAGATCGGATTACTAGATGCGCGGTAAAGCAATCAGCATTAGTTAAGTGCACAAGACGAGACAAAGACTCTAATATAATCCCTAGCTAATCATCGAAATCAAAGATCATGCAAGCAACTCATTGAATAGTAACCCTAGCAACCTAACTAGTGGATTACTCAGACATGATCAAAGCAAACACACATAGAGATGAAGAAAACATGATTGCAATAAAACTTAGAGTAGGAAATCGAAATACAAGGGCGGCTCTCTTTCACAAGAGGCTAAAAAGCTATATATATAGTGCTAGGTCTTCAGAGGCGGCTTAGGGTTAAGCCGGGCTTGAAAATAGTGAAACGGGCTTCAAAACGGGCTTCGGGTCGACCGCGGCGTTGGACGGTCGACGATCGGCCGGACAATCGGGTCATGGCCGAGTCGGAACGGTCGTGGCCGGACGGATTCGGTCGGCCGCTGTGGTCGGACGGTGAATTGGCCGATGTTTCTCGGCCGGACGCGGGCGTAGCTTCCCGGCTCGGACGGCGCATCGGCCGTGGTACGCGAGAAGGGCGCGGCCGCGAGGCGTTGTTCCCGGCTCGCGCGGTCGTCGTGGTGGGCGTGGCTGTGGCCGACCGCGGGACAATGTTTCCCGGGTCGTGATGCGTATCGGCCGGATGGTTTGGACTTTGGCCGAGACTTCAGACGGACGGATGATTTGGCCGAGCGGGAACATTCGTTCCTCGGCCAGCCGGACTGCGCGGTTGGGCGCTGATTCTCGATAGAGCCGTCTGGACAGTCTTCACTCTTTTGGTTATAACTCCTTTTCTACTCATCCAAATGAGGCCATTCCAGTTGCGTTGGAAAGTTAACTCAATCAGAGCACGCAGGGAACTGGTCTTGATGAAATCCATTGAGTAGATCTTTTTCTAAAATGCATTTTCTCCAAAATGCATTTTCACCTGTTTAGACTCTAGACACTATAAACACAGTAAAACTACCTTTTTAGATAGAAAACCTGCCAAAAACCATTAGAAAACAATACTAAAACAGTATAAAAAGTGTAAATTAGAGGTATATCACAAATCACAGCCTAATCTTACATCACACATTAAAAAAAAACAAAACAAGACACAGAACTGATAATAGATACATGAACAAGTTTGGAATATGAAGATATATTACCTCGTCCACAGACCACAGTTATAGCATCCACAGATGCAAGCATCCATAGTTATAGCATCCACAATTACCTTGGAAGATGAAGATTGAGCAAAGCAGAATGTCAATGGTGATTGCCATTGCTGTCCACGAGAAGATTACTAAAGAGAAGATTAAGCAAACCACGAGTTACCCTAATAAAATTCTAAATCGAATTCAGTAAAACCGTAAAAAAAAACCGTCTCTGTGGTTTTTTTTCCTCTATTTTGTGGAGCAACTTTCAGGGGGTTTTAATCTTGTCTATAGATGAGCAAATATTGGTCTCATGGGGTCACACAAGCAGTTCATGAAGGTTTAAGATCCCAACCGACTATTATAAAGGAAATTCAAAACCGATTGTCCTTAAAAACAAGCAACAAAATTCAAACAAATATTGGGTTCCATGAATTAGAATTAGATTGAGTTCTTTGAATAACATCCAATTGTACAATTGTATTCGTCCAAACACATATTGTGGACTCGCGGCATGAACAATCCAACACTAGAAGTATCCATACACAACTATATAATTGTGTAATACAATGTACAATACCATTATGTGATGCCAAATCTATATCTTCGCCCTCCGCAATCTTCGAAATTACCATATCTACCATCACCTCCTCGATCGAGACATCAACGGAGTTGGGTGTTCACTCAAGCGAGGACTTCATTCACATCAAAGACCCAGGCCTATGGGCGATATGTCGTTAAGATGAATTGCTCGACGAGGCGGATGAAGAATTTAGAGACTCCGATTCCGTAGTTAGCAGAGGCGATGCAGCTGGTGGTAGAGCGGCGGATGATGACGAGTGTGCATCAGAGAGGATGAAAGTGGACCAAATGAAACTGAAACGTCCAAACAAAAACTATCCACAAAAAAATGATTTTGATTCATCGAGGAAAATTATCATGGCCAAAATTAAACAGATTTCTCCAACTCCGATGTCGAACAAAGCAGCTCAAACAAAAAGTAACAATTTTTCACTTTAGTTTTCATTAAGGGTATAGTAGAAATTTCTAACACACAAAAAAACAAAAAAAGTCCACCAATATCTAAAAGTCCCTCTTTTTGTAAAGAGAACTCAAAAAGTCACCCATACTGTAAATCACTCAAATCTTGACTACTGTTTATCGCTATGGAACAAATTATAACCCTTTTTTTTTGCTATTATAACCCGTTTAATTGTAGACCTTGATGTGCACTTGGATATCTCCAGTTCACTGCATCCCAAAGAAGGGAGGAATCACTGTCATAAAGAATGACAAAGAGGAGCTGATAACTACTAGAACAATAGTGGGGCATCGCATGTGTATAGACTATAGGAAGCTAAATTCTGCATCTAGAAAGGATCATTTCCCTCTTCCTTTCATTGATCAGATGTTGGAAAGATTAGCAAACCATCCTTTTTATTGTTTTCTTGATGGTTCCAGTGGTTTCTTCCAAATCCCGATCCACCCAAATGATCAGGAGAAGACCACTTTCACATGCCCTTATGGTACCTTCGCATATCGAAGGATGCCATTTGGGCTGTGCAATGCCCCAACTACATTCCAGAGATGCATGACTTCCATTTTTTCAGATCTGATAGAGGAGATGGTAAAAGTCTTCATGGACGATTTCTCAGTCTATGGAGCATCCTTCTCCTCATGTTTGTCAAACTTGTGCAGGGTCTTGCAGAGGTGTGAAGAGACAAATCTGGTGCTCAACTGGGAGAAGGGCCACTTCATGGTTCAAGAAGGGATTGTCCTTGGACATAAGATTTCCGAAAAGGGGATCGAGCTCGATCGAGCTAAGGTGGATGTGATGTTGCAACTTCCTGTTCCTAAGATTGTGAAGGATATCAGGAGCTTTCTGGGTCATGCAGGGTTTTACAGGAAATTCATCAAGGATTTCTCCAAGATAGCAAGACCTTTGACAAGGCTTCTGTGCAAGGAGATAGACTTTAAGTTTGATGAAGAATGCCACAAGTATTGGACCTTGCTGAAGGATGCTCTGGTATCTGCTCCGATTGTTCAAGCTCCAAACTGGGATTACCCTTTTGAGATTATGTGTGATGCATCCGACTATGCAGTAAGAGCCGTGCTTGGCCAAAAGATAGACAAGAAGCTCAATGTCATTTACTATGCAAGAAAAAATATGGATGATGCTCAATGCAAGTATGCAACCACAGAGAAGGAGCTCCTTGCCGTAGTCTTTGCCTTTGAGAAATTTCGAAGTTACGTGGTTGGATCAGAAGTGATTGTGCACACAGATCATGCTGCTCTTAGGCACATCTTTGCTAAGAAGGATAGAAAGCCAAGGCTTCTGATGGCATATTGGTAGTACTTAGATTTTTTTATGGCGGGTTTAGATTGCCTCAAATTTTCACAATTTATAAACCCAACTAATGAGCTGCAAGTGCACAGCCGTGTTGTAGTCGGGGTCGAACACGAGGAGGAAGTGTTCTCACTTAACACCTTGTGAGATTGGTTTGTAGCTAGCTCGCAATATGAGGTGGTTTTGGACCTAGAATGAGAAAACAAAACAAAAGAATGTGAGTGAGTTTGTAAACAATTTAAAACAAGAGTTAGGCAAAGGACAATCATATGGAGCAATGATGAAAAGATAGTTGCATGGGATGTGTGTAGAGCCGTCTTGAACATGAATCACTAGTGTATGGTCTTTCCACTGTCGTGGCTCCAACCACTATGTTTAAAACAACCTAATATACTCAGCTTTCGTTGGCTATTAGAATTGCAAACATGCATTACAAGGTTCAAGATTCAATTGTTCACAATAAACCATAACTCAGCTTTCGTTGGCTATGATCTATTGCTCACCAAATACTAGTTTTGAGATCTAGATTCAGCACTGTCGTGGTTCTATTTCTCTAAGATCAGATTACTAGATGTACGGTAGAGTAATCATGCATTAAGCTCAAGTAAAGGTGAAGATCCATAAGATAAATCCCAATAAGTTGCAACACAATCAAATCATCACGGCCACCATAGATCTCCTCGGCCTAACTAAGAGATCTACTCGGCCATGATGCAAACAAGCAAGCAAAGCATGATTGTAAACATTATGCAAGTATTAAAAGAGATAAAGGGATGAAGAAAGCTTCTCTATTGATGAACAAAGTCGGATTCTCCCTTGAAAACTCTTAAAATCAAGTTTATAGAAATGGAAACAATGAAAAAGAAAGAACAAGAGTTGAGCGGCGCCTCCTTCTTCTTGGACGATCTCCTAGGGCTTCTCTCTCTCTCTCTCTTCTCACACGTACACTCTTTGATAATTTTCGGACTACTCGATCTCTCTTCTTCAGCGGCTAAAAACATGTATATATGGGCGAAGTCGCGTAGGGTTTTCTTCATGCCGGAAAAGGAAAGTTTCCCGCGAGCAAAGCCTTCTTCTCCACGTCGTGTATGGGCCGACATTGTACCAAGGAAAGCTCCAAACATTAGCCAGGCCTCTTCTCTATTCGATCAAGGCCTTTGGCGCTGCTGCTCGGGCCATTAGACACTCCAAATCCTCCATGGGCTTCGTTTACTCGCTTACCGGACATGTCTCGGTAGAAAATAAGTCTAGGCCTCATAGTTGATCCAAATGGCTTCATTCCACTTCGACGTGATGCATGACTCAAGTATCTATCTTTCCATATCAAGATCGTAACTTTTGGACGTCGGGAACTCCTCCGCGCGCGGCCAAACTTCCGAAGCTTCGTTCTGCGCGCAAGCGAGAACTAACACTTGGAGATAAAATGATCTTCTTGACTTGGAAACTTGCATGGATCTTGATTTAGGGCTCTTTTACTCCTTTTTAATAGTTTTAGCATCCATTAGCATCATATCTTGTTCCTTTTCTCTTCTTATGCATTCATAGTAGTTTTAGGTTGCATTTGCATACATATGCATGTTTGGTCCTTTGAAATAGGTCTTTTGGAGCATTCTGGAGCATATGGGACGTAGGAGCATGGAGGACTTGGCACATGGACGCAGCTCAACTGGATACGCAAAGGAAGAAGGAGGAAGCCATCTTGAAGACCAGCTCGACCATCTACTCGACCAACCGGTCGAGTTCCTCAACTCGACCGGCCAAGCTTCAACTCGATCGAGCTGAGAAGTCAACAGTCAAACCCGAAAAATGTTGCTTCCCCCTTGACTTTCCTTTGACCCTAAACCTAAATCCTCTTGTATTTAAGGGCTAAAAGCCACGAAAAAACCACCAAGCTTTAGATTACTTTTGTTTTAGTTTTTTAATTTATTGTCTTTTACTTTTGAGAGCTCTAATCCCATCTTTGTGTTCTTGAAGCTCTTGCTTCTTGAATCCTAGATCCTGGATAATCTCTTTTGTATTTGCACTTGCTTATTTCAATAAAAGTTGTTTAATTTCATCTCCTCTTTCTTATGATGTCTCTTTTATTGCATTTGCTTGTGTTTACATTCATGTGTAGTGAGTAGTTTCCCTTAGGGTCAAAGATGGGATAGATTAGGGATTTTTATGCTTAATCCTTCTTGCTTATGTTCTTAATCTAGAAATCTCTATTGTATTTGCACTTGCTTATTTCAATAAAAGTTGTTTATTTCATCTCCTCTTTCTTATGATGTCTCTTTTATTGCATTTGCTTGTGTTTACATTCATGTGTAGTGAGTAGTTACCCATTAGGGTTTGAGATGGGATAGATTAGAGGTTTCATATGCTTAATCCTTCTTGCTTATGGTCTTAATCTAGATTCTCTCTCTTTTGGATAATCTTAAGGCTACATGACCACTACCCCTGGCTTGTATGTCCTTAGGCGATTCTCCACATGGAAGTGATGGAAATCGCTGGAAAAGATCCACTAAGAGCTCCAATATCTCTTGCTCTAGAAATAGAGGTCTAAGGGGTTGGATGGATTAGTTTGGGCAATGATCCTATGGCCTCCAAGGTTTGATTCTCACTGGCTAACCCCCTGTTTCTGAGATCATTCCTTGGTTGATAGCCTCACCTTGGGAAAGGGTTGGCTAGGCATTGAGAAGCCCAATATCAAGAGAAGCCTAGCCTTCCTCTGATTGTTAAACCCTGTCTTAGACCCTAATTCTCGCATTAGCTTGTTAAAGTCGCTGCCTTTATGCTTTTTACTTCAACTCGACCCTAAACTCGATCGAGCTGGTACTGTTCCACTCGACTCGAGTCCTTGGTCGAGCTGTTGCTTCACTGCTTTCTTTACTTTTTTGCATTGCATTTTTTCATTTAGGTTGTTAGTGTTACTTCAAATCTATTACTGCTTGCTTGACTTCTGGTTGTTTCATATTCTCATAGAGTGACAAGTTTCCCATTTTGGATTGATAACCCTTTGTACTACATGACTATCATGGTTAAAGGGAATTGTTGACTGTGTTTGTGTTTGCATCTTACCACCTCATCATATACCACTGATTGCATTCCACATCTCATTTCATATCTTTTCACATCCACACACAAATCCTATCATCAATTTGGCGCCGTTGCCGATTTGGGAATATTTTTGTTGCATTTGAGTTTCAAACACACTTGGACGATCAAGCTATACCACCCCTGTTCTATTGTACTGCTGGGTTTTTGTCTCTTTTTGCAGGTGTATGCGAACTCGATCGAGTCGGTCTACAGAGACTTGGTCGAGCTAGACTTACAACGGGTAGAAAGAGGGTTCAGAGGTCACAGAGGGTACAAGAGGAACCTGAGGTGCTTGTTGCTGATACAATGGATGTACCAGAGGGGAATGGAAACCCTTTGGGCAATGGACTCGGTCGAGCTAGGCAAACTCGACCGATTGGTCAAGGAGATGCTCCAAACCGCCACCAACAGAGACAAGGGATTGTTCCACCACCAGTGCAGAACCACAACTTTGAGATCAAGCTGGGAATGATCAACCTTGTCCAGAACAAGATGTTCCATGGATTGCCAAGTGAAGACCCCATTGACCACCTTGATGAGTTTGATAGGCTTTGTGATTTGACAAAGATCAATGGTGTCTCTGAAGATGCCATCAAGCTGAGACTCTTTCCTATGTCTCTAGCTGACAAAGCTCACCAATGGGAGAAGAGCTTGCCCCATGGCACAATCACCACTTGGGATGAATGCAAGAAGGCCTTTCTTGCTAAGTTTTTCTCCACCGGTCGCACAGCCAAGCTTAGAGGAGAGATATCCAGCTTCATCCAGCGAAACAATGAGACATTCGCAGAGGCTTGGGAGAGGTTCAAAGGCTACACAAGTCAGTGCCCACACCATGGATTCAACAATGAATCACTACTCTCCACTCTTTATAGAGGATGCTTGCCTAGGTATAGGGAGATGCTAGACACAGCTAGCAATGGGAACTTCCTCAACCAGGATGTAGATGATGGCTGGCAACTTGTGGAGAACATAGCTAACTCAAATGGAAGCTATGGAGAAGAGTATGATCGCACCAACCGGAGCTCGACCCACCACTCGATCGAGTCAGACGAAAAGTTGAGAAAAGATGTTAAGGCATTGAATGAGAAGTTGGATAAGCTGATCCTAGCTCAGTCCACAATGAAGAAAGTCAACTTTGTGTCTGCTGAGGAGATGGAACCAGTCCAAGAAGGGGAGGATACACAATTTGCTGAGGTGTGCTACATGAGCAATGGGCAAGGAGGTTACAACAAAGGATACTATAATTACAAGTCCAACCCTGCCATGTCATACCGCAACACTGATGTTGCTAACCCTCAGGACCAAGTCTATCCTCAACAACAAGCAGCTCGATCGAGTCAAGTGCCACAACATGGGTATGGTCAAAAGAACAATTACCAAGGACCACAAGGCACTTTCCCTGGACAACAAATGAATATCCCACCAGGCTTTCCCCACCAACCACCCCAGCCTGCACCTTCACAAGAGAATGAGCTCAAGGCAATGCTAAAGCAACTACTTCAAGGGCAAGCTGATGGGGTAGTGGACACAAGCAAGAAGCTAGCTGAAATAAACTCTAAGATCGAGAACCTCAACACAAGGGTTTACTCTCTGGAGAATCATGCTTCTTCTGTTGCTGCTGCTACAAAGCAAGGACAACTACCTGGTAAAGCTATTCAGAACCCCAAGGAACAGTGCAAGGTCATCTTCACTCAAGAAGGACTTGTTGAAGAAGAGGATCAAGAAAGGGTCATTGAAGATTTTTGTTTACTGCTGAATGATGAAGAGATTGTTGCTGCTGAGGCTCCTGGAGTCCAGATTGATCAACCAGAAGTGCAGGCACCTACTGTGGCCATTCACACTTCACCAGTTGAGCTCGCACGACAAGCTCGATCGGCAGCTCGATCGAGTCCAACTCTAGCTCGATCGAGTCCGACCTCTTCTGTCCAAACCTGTTTTGCTTGATCCTTACCAACCGGTTGCCGCTTCCTCGTCTCGCCTACTTAGTCAAGGTCACAAGGAAGTGATTCACAAGTTCAGAAGAGATCTCAGTGGGATTGGAATTGAGTTGCCTCCTATGGATAGCATGAGTGAGGCATTTGATCAAATGCAAATGGTCAAGGATGTTCTAGCCAACAGTGATAAAGTTTCAGAGGTCCTACAAGAGTCTACTCATCAGTTCAACCTGCTTACTTCACCCACCTTCCTACCAAAGGTCAAGGATCAAGGGAAATTCACTCTCCCTTGCACACTTGGGCATCTTGAGATTGACAATGCCTTAGTGGATTCTGGAGCAAGCATCAATCTGATCTCTCTCTCCATGGCAGAGAAGCTAGGCATTGCTGGAGCCTTGCAGCGCCCTACTGATATACCTCTATTTTACATGCTTTTTATATGGTTTTACTATGCTTTTCATAAGGTTTTTAATGGCTTTCTGATCTAAAAAGATATTTTTTATGGATTTATAGTACTTAGAGTCTAAACAGGTCAAAAGATGCATTTTGGAGCAAAACACAGGATTTGGACTTCAAGACCAATCCAGGACGTAGCATCAACTTTAGAAGGGCCTTAAAACCATTATACTTAATGGACTTCATCAAATACAGTTCCACGAGATGCATACAAGAGTTAACTTTGCAACGAAATTGGAATCAATCAATTTGACCGAGTAGATTGGGAGAGATCTCTATTTCCCTGAGACATATACGAGAGAGCTTAATCGGACTACATCAGCACATCAAACGGGCAGCAGCGGCTTGGACCCTTAAACTCAATGGATTTCCATGCAACTCGACACCAAGATAGGAAGATGAGTTAGTGTTCCAATTCAGTTGGAATTATGCAATTTGGATGCGCTGTTTAGGCGATATCACATTTGTACTGAAGACTGGTTAATAGCCGGCCGAACGCACTCGGCCGGACAGGAAGGGAATTGGCTTCGCTCGGCCTTCTCCAGGACCGATCCGGCCGCACGACCGCACCGTCCGACCCGGGAGGCAATGGACCACGATCGACCGAGATCATCACATCACGGCCGACCCGGACGGCCGACCACATGCCTTGCACGGTCGACCCGATGTCCGCGAACAAGAAGCCCACTTATGCAGTTTTGACAATTCTCAGCCCAGTTAACCTAAACCGACTTGTGAAGACCTAGGGCACTATAAATACTCTTTTTTAGCCTCTTTAGAGGAGAGAGCCGCCATAGTTTAGAGAGTTTTACTTTGATTTCGTTTTAGAGCTTCATGGGAGAAGATCTCACCTTTGTAACACAATAGAGGAGATTTCTAAACCCTTTTACCTTCTATCAAGTTTTATTATGAATTCTTCTTCATATCTTTGCTTGATCTCTGTTACTATGTTTGAGTAATCTCCTTGTTGGGTTTAAGAGTTTTCAAAGGGTTTTCATGGATTGATTGTTAGGTTGCTAGATTAGGGTTTTATCATTAAAGTTCTTCATCTAAGTTTGTGTTTATTGCTTGTAGCTTGATTGACCGTCTAAGCTACTGTTCTTAAGTAGATTTACTTTCTGACCGCTTGATAAATCTCTTGAATCAACTTAGATGAGCAAGGCATAGTAACCTACGGAAGTAGAATTGCTAGGCTTTGTGAACTAGACCTACGGAAGTAGATCTATCGAATTTGGAACTGTTCTTACATGCTTAACCTCTTGATTACCTGCGGAAGTTGTGTGATTTAGGTTGTTAGACATAGTAATTGGCACTGCGGGAGTAGGTCAATTATACTTATTGATTCGAGTTCTAGAACAAACTATTGATTTCCCTATCTATTTGCTTGATCCAATCTATGAAACCTTGCGAATCTCTAATGCCCAATGCTTTCTTCTATTGCTTTCACCTTATTTACTTTGTTTTGCTTTGAAACCGTGACAACAACAAACCTCCATACTTGAGTCTTAGCTTGATTCGAATCTCATAAACTCATAGTGTAAACTTATCTGGTCCTTGTGTTCGATAACCCGTTACTACATCTGACCTGTGCACTTGCAGAATCAGGGATAGGAATAGGTAAAACCTGATCCCGCATCAAGTTTTTGGCGCCGTTGCCGGGGACCAATACAGTTGCCTTTGAGTTTCGGATTAGAATCTAGTCTAGGATAGCTTTAATTTTCGTTTTTATTTCTTGTTTCTTGTTTTTCTTGGTTTTTGTTTTTATTATTTTGTTACTTTTCTCTATCTCTTTGTGTTTCAGGTTAGCTTGAGGAAGAGATAGGACCTCTTGAAGAAGATATCACAATGGATCCTCAAAACCGCACCATTGGAGAGTTTGACTCACTAGACATCTTTTTCACAAACCGCCAACCTATATGCCCTTCACGACCTACTGGAGAGTTCAAGATAAGCTCTAAACTCATTGCTTTGGTGGAGCAGCATCAGTTTCGTGGCCTAGAGGAAGAGCAGCCCATTGATCATATTGAGAAGTTTGAAGAAATCTGCGCTACAAGGAGATGTAGTGGAGTTTCTGAGGATTACTTGAAGTGTACTTTATTCTCTTTCTCTTTGGTTGAGAAGGCATACAAATGGATGAGGGCTCTTCCAGCAGGATCAATCACTACTTGGGATGAATACAAGAGAGCTTTCTTGAAGAATTTCTACCCAAAAGAGAGATTAAAATGGATGAGAAGAAGAATCTCAGAATTTCGACATGAGGCACATGAATCATTCTTTGAGGCTGTTTCACGGTTCAAGGAGTACAAGAGAGAGTGCCCTCATCATGGTTTTACAGAGATTGCTTTGCTAAACTTCTTCTATCAAGGAGTTGATGAGAAATTCAAGATGGCACTCAACATTGCAAGTCAAGGGGACTTCATGACTAATACAGTTGCTCAAGCCAATACTCTCATTGATAACTTGGCTGCAAGCAACAAATATTCTTGCTTGGACTATGAGAAAAACGTGGAGCACATCAAGCCAAGTTCAGACTTTTCAGAAATCCTTGAGCTGAAATCAATGGTTGCTCAATTTCTCAAGAACCAGCAAAGGGATGCATACCAATGTGAGAACATGGGAGCTTCTCATGGTAAGGATAAAGAGGAGTGTAATGGTGATAACTCTCATAAGCAGCAAGGAGAAGTCAACTACATTGATGCTAGAGAGGAAAGACTTGAAGCTATGATGCAACAGCTAATGGAAAATCAACAACATATGATGGAAAGACAAGAGCAAAACGCCCAAGAGATTGAAAACCTTGAGTATAAAATGGCGAACGACTATGGTCATCTCAACAGAAAAGATGATGAGATATTTGCAAAGCTCTTTGATCTAACCAATCATGTGAAGATGCTTGAGGTGCAAGTTGCTCAAACTGCAGAAGGTATGAAGAGGCAAGAGGGTTTTCTTCCAAGTAAGACTGAGTTAAATCCAAGAGTTTGCAAAGTTATCACAACTCAGAACAAGGACGTGGTCTCACCAGCCCCTAGAGATCATTCAACCCTCAAAAACCCATTGGAATGGCCTGAAGATGATGAGCCAATCTACAAGGGACCTCATCAAAGAAAGCTGCATAAGATGGAAGATCCAGGGCAATTTGTTTTCCCATGCACAATCAATGGTATGGATTTTATTGATTCCCTCTGCGATACAGGAGCTGTGAATGTTATGTCTAAGCTTATAGCAGATGAGCTTGGAATAGTTGACATTAAAGACTCTCAAACATCACTGAAGTTTGGAAACGCCTCTACTATTACCCCATATGGCTTTGCTCAAGATATATTGGTACAAGTGGGAGGTTGTCTTGTTCCTACAGATTTTCATATTCTAGAGATGAATGAGGAACCCCTAACGCCATTGGTTTTTGGTAGTTCCTTCCTTGCAACAGTTGGAGCTAATGTGGACTATCCAAACCAAAGAGTTTCTTTCTCTAGAGTAAAGAAGAGAGTCTTTTATCCAGCAGTCCCTACCAAGAGCTCTTATTGTATAACCATTAGGAATGGCAGCAGATTGAGTTTAGACCATGGAGAAGAGAAGGAGAAGCCTCAAAACGTTTCCAAGCAAGCTCTTTACATAAGATCTTATGAAGTTATCAAATCAGTGAACTCTGATCATGAAAGTTGCTTAAGAGACAAGGTTTCGACTGTGATGCCTAAAGAGTGTGATGCAGATAGTTCTAAGGAAGTTTTCCACCTTGAGAGACGTCCTAGAGCACCTCCAAAACCAGCACCATCCGACACTCCTTGGTTTAGATACATTGCCAACTATCTTGCTGCTGATCATCCACCACCCCAATTCTTTGGCTACAAGAAGAAGAAATTCTTACGTGATGTTAGAAGGTACTTTTGGGACGAACCTTATCTTTATAAACATTGTTCTGATGGTATGTTTAGAAGATGTATTCCAGAAGAAGAAGTCCCAGGAGTTCTCTTTGCTTGTCATGGATCTGACTATGCAGGACATTTTGCTACTAACAAGACTGTTGCTAAGATCTTGCAAGCTGGTTTTTGGTGGCCCACCATGTTTAAGGACGCCCATGACTTCATCTCTAAGTGTGATGCTTGCCAGAGACAAGGAAACATCAGCAAAAAGAATGAGATGCCACAAAACTTCATCCAAGAAGTGGAAGTTTTTGATGTTTGGGGAATAGACTTCATGGGTCATTTTCCCTCTTCTTATGGGAACAAGTACATCCTTGTTGCTGTTGACTATGTGTCTAAATGGGTAGAAGCCATAGCCAGCGCTACAAACAACTCCAAGGTTGTGATAAAGTTATTCAAGTCGATCATCTTTCCAAGATTTGGTATCCCAAGAGTTGTGATTAGTGATGGAGGATCTCATTTCATCAACAAAGTCTTTGAAAGTCTACTGAAGAAAAATGGAGTGAGACACAAGGTTGCTACTCCTTATCACCCTCAGACAAGTGGGCAAGTAGAGATTTCTAACAGAGAAATCAAGAGGATCTTAGAGAAGACAGTGGGAATGACAAGAAAGGATTGGTCAGTAAAGCTTGATGATGCTCTTTGGGCATATAGAACTGCATTCAAAACCCCACTTGGAACAACTCCTTTTCACCTTGTCTATGGAAAATCTTGCCATCTTCCTGTTGAGATTGAGTATAAGGCGGAATGGGCAGTAAAGAAGCTGAACTACGACATCAAGACAGCAAAGGAGAAGCGCTTGATTTAGTTGAATGAGTTGGATGAAATTCGTCATAATGCCTATGAGAATTCAAGGATCTACAAGGAAAGAACAAAAGCATATCATGACAGGAAGATAGTCCCCAAGACGTTCTCTCCCAATGACCAGGTTCTCCTTTTCAACTCACGCCTGAAACTCTTTCCCGGTAAGCTTAGATCGCGATGGTCCGGACCTTTTAAGATAAAAGAAGTGAAACCATATGGCGCTGTTGTACTATGGAACCGTTCTGGAGGTGATTTCACTGTTAATGGACAAAGACTCAAGCCATATCTCGCAGACATTGATGAGGATGAGAGAGCAACAGTTCCTTTAGTCGATGCCCCACTTGCCTAAGAAGAGCCATAACGTCAAGCTAATGACATTAAACAAGAGCTGTATGGGAGGCAACCCATAAGATGTTTTCTTTTCCCTTCTTATTTTTTGTTTTAGTTTAATGTTTTTGTTTTGTTTTTGAAGTTGTGAATACAGAGATTTGAGAATCTAGCATGAAATTTGAGAAGCAACCTAGAAAAATGAAGAAAGGAGCAATCATCGGCCACCTCCCAAACCGTGTTTCTAAAGTCCACCAAACTTCACAGGCGTCCTTAAAATCATATTTTGGTCAGCAAATCCAAAAGATAGGACGGTGAAATGTTCACGGTTCAGGAGATAGATCAAGGAGCCACATCCGGCCGATCTAGGTCTAGAAAATGGCCGACAAAACCAAATGACGGCATAGGCGCGCCCACCGGCTGGAAAACACTTCATGGAGGTTGCTTAACACATTTCGAAAGGAATATCACAAAACGAACGAGCCAAATTCAAGGATGGTCAACAAACCTCTTCATGGAGACATGTTGACCACTTTGTGAAGGATCTCTCAATCCACTCGTTAGAATGCTCCCAAATTCAATATAGGTCGGGAAATTGTTTATACTTTGAGCTGTGGTCCATAGCACTACTCTCCGGTCGACCAAAATGTCCCATCTCGGCCAAATCGCAAATCGGAGTGAACCAGGCCCTGAAATTCAATACTCACAGACCAATATCACATGAGGAAGTGTCCCATTCACCAACCCGGCCCTGATCTTGATGACCTAAGGCTTATCTCAACCTATCAAAGGAGAAGGACATCCACATATCACCAATGGGTCGTTTCTTCATGAACTTAAGGTCTAATCAGTTATATCTTTCTTCTCATTCACTCACACATTATTACCTCTTTCTTTTTCCTCCCTTAATGGATTTGCTTTCACCGGGACGGTGCAAGTTAAGTCTGGGGGGAGTTTTATTGTGTTACTAATGCATTTTTCTTTCTTTTCTTATATTTTTTCTTTGTTTCATGTTTTTCAAAAGTTTTATTGAGTCAAAAACCAGTCCGGAAGTTATGAACTTGCTTTGAGATTGATAGTGTTATGCTAACAATCCATGACCCTAGAGCAGACATCAGCTAAAGGCACAAGCCTAACAGAAGCTCTTACAGTGGATCGACATGCTAGCTCAGCAAAATTTCTAAGGTAACCAAGCAATCTAGAGTTAACCTCACCCTTAATCAATCTTAATAACTCTTGTCAAGGGGATTGGCATACATGTCGACAGTTCCTTGCTTGATTTTCAATGAGATTTGTCTTTAAAGAGTTCTCCTCTCTCTCCCATCCCAAATGGTAAGTAATGTTTATGAGAAAAGCTCAAAGAGCACAAGGAAAACAAGTAAGCATGAGGAATGCATATGTCTGTACCTTCATGTCTTATGGAATACCTTAGTCAAACAAGGAACAAGCTAAAGACTTATCCTGTGGTTGAAAGAAGGGTCAATAGAAAAAATAAAATGATACCCTAGAAAAGTAGGGAGAAATTGACCTTTCAAAGTTCTGATGTGAGAAAGAGAGAGGAAAAGAACTCATTGCACTTCAAAGACAATCTTGGAGAAGATCAAGTGGGTAAGAACAAGTTCAATTGATCGATGTCCCTTGATAAAGAACTCACGCTTTAAATTTATGCAAGAGGTTAGCAATAGAGAGTTTGGATTGCTGGATGAGACTAGTTGGGTTGGTATTGTTCGCTAAACTTGCAGGGTGTATGTGAAGCTAACCTTATGTTGTCTATGTTCTTAGTGGAATACAGGAAAGGAACCTTTCACAGGATATTCAAAGAGCAAGGGAGTTCCACGTTTTCAAACCTCTTCACTAGTTTAGATTCTTTTTGCTTGGGGACAAGCAAAGATCTAAGTCTGGGGGAGTTGATATACCTCTATTTTACATGCTTTTTATACTGTTTTACTATTGTTTTCTAATGGTTTTTGGCAGGTTTTCTATCTAAAAAGGTAGTTTTATGGTTTATAGTGTCTAGAGTCTAAACAGGTGAAATGATGCATTTTGGAGCAAAACACAGGATTTGGACTTCAAGACCAATCCAGACTAGCCAACTTTGCTTAAAACCATCTACTCAATGGCATCATCAACTGTTAAGAGGGCCCAGAAAAAGATCTACTCAATGGATTTCCATGAAACTCGACACCAAGATAGGCAGATGAGTTAGTGTTCCAATTCCGTTTGAATTATGCAATTTGGATGCGCCGTTTAGGAGATATCACGTTTGTACTGACGACTGGTTAACAGCCGGCCGAACGCACTCGGCCGGACAGGAAGGGAATTGGCTTCGCTCGGCCTTCTCTAGGACCGATCCGGCCGCACGACCGCACCGTCCGACCCGGGAGGAAATGGACCACGATCGACCGAGATCATCACATCACGGCTGACCCCGACGGCCGACCACATGCCTTGCACGGTCGACCCGATGTCCGCGAACAAGAAGCCCACTTATGCAGTTTTGACAATTCTCAGCCCAATTAACCTAAACCGACTTGTGAAGACCTAGGGCACTATAAATACTCTTTTTAAGCCTCTTTAGAGAAGAGAGCCGCCATAGTTTAGAGAGTTTTACTTTGATTTCGTTTTAGAACTTCATGGGAGAAGATCTCACCTTTGTAACACAATAGAGGAGATTTCTAAACCCTTTTACTTTCTATCAAGTTTTATTATGAATTCTTCTTCATATCTTTGCTTGATCTCTGTTACTATGTTTGAGTAATCTCCTTGTTGGGTTTAAGAGTTTTCAAAGGGTTTTCATGGATTGATTGTTAGGTTGCTAGATTAGGGTTTTATCATTAAAGTTCTTCATCTAAGTTTGTGTTTCTTGCTTGTAGCTTGATTGACTATCTAAGCTAATGCTCTTAGGTAAATTTACATTCTGACCGCTTGATAAATCTCTTGAATCAATTTAGATGAGCAAGGCATAGTAACCTGCGAAAGTAGAATTGCTAGGTTTTGTGAACTAGACCTACGGAAGTGGATCTATCGAATTTGGACTGTTCTTACATGCTTAACCTCTTGATTACCTGCGGAAGTTGTGTGATTTAGGTTGTTAGACATAGTAATTGGCACTGCGGGAGTAGGTCAATTATACTTATTGATTCGAGTTCTAGAACAAACTATTGATTTCCCTATCTATTTGCTTGATCCAATCTATGAAACCTTGCGAATCCTCTAATGCCCAATGCTTTCTTCTATTGCTTTCACCTTATTTACTTTGTTTTGCTTTGAAACCGTGACAACAACAAACCTCCATACTTGAGTCTTAGCTTGATTCGAATCTCATAAACTCATAGTGTAACTTATCTGGTCCTTGTGTTCGATAACCCGTTACTACATCTGACCTGTGCACTTGCAGAATCAGGGATAGGAATAGGTAAAACCTGATCCCGCATCACCTACTACTTCAATCATGTTTGGAGATGCAACTTCTAAGTCTCCTCTTGGAGTGTTCAAGAACTATCACTTGAAAATTGGAGAATGCATCATCCAAACTGATCTCACTGTGATGGAAATGGAAGAAGAGAAGGATTTACCTCTGTTATTGGGAACCCCTTTCCTTAGTACAGTTGGCGCTTCAATAGACTTTCACAAGCAAGAAGTGATCCTTCACAAGGTGAATAGTTTGGTGTCATATCGCTTGCAGCCTAGAGGTTCAGACTTTTGTGCCACAATTGACAGTACCACTCTCAGTTCTAAGAGTCATGGAGCTACAAAGGTTGTGAAGGAAAGGGTTGACAAGAACCAAGAGTTGGGAAGGATAAGGATGAGAGAGGACCAAGGATTGAGAAGCCACGTCTTGAGAGGGCTAGAGTTGAGAAACCATCTGATAGGCCAGAGCTGATCGACTTGTTCAAGCCCCTTGTGTGCTTGATGAAGAGAGCCTTCAAGCTTTGTTTGATGAGCCACTAGGAAGGGCTCTAAAAGAAGGGGAGGATGTAGCCTCTAAGGCAAGACCAGGGATAAAAGAAAGGATCCACCAGCTCAGGCCCCTTCATCAAGCCATCTCAGCTCACAATGACTTTGTTCCCCACCAAGTTTGAAAATGGGAAGATTGAGTACAAGATAAGGTACAAGGGGAGATCAAGGCCATTCTCTAGAGCCAAGCCTTGGTGACTTCAGAACAGTCCAGGGACCCAACCAAGCTAAAGGAGCTTCTGTCTCAAGTCCTCACTATCACCCTTGATGGTGGGACTAGCTCAACCAATGCCTAAGAAGGTAAAGGTCAAGCTATGGGACCTTAAACAAGCTCACTTGGGAGGAAGTCCCATGTTTATCCTTGTACATACTCTATTTATGTTTCTTCTATCTATGTTTTAACCTTTCAATAAGTTAAGTTTAGGTGACAAGGAGCCAGCTCGACCGACAGCTCGATCGAGCTAGAAACCAGGGCAACTCGATCGAGTTCCACAACTCGACCGAGGTAAGTTTTTGAATTTCAAATTCATAACCGTTTTCTTGGTCAAGGGAGTGGGTCCCACAAGCTGATTTTGGTCCCCCACTACCCTAATTGATCAGAAAAATCCCTAGCTTCTTGTTCCCCTCTTTATTTCATCTTTTAATCTCAACCACACATCTCAAACACTCCCTCTTCCCCATAACTCGATCGAATCCACACCTCTAAATTTCTGAAATCATCTCTCTCTCTCTTCACCACAAAAAATCGATTTCCTCTTTCTCTCTTAAGTTTTTGCGATTTTCTTGTTCTCATCTTGTTTGCTTTAGTTCTATTCTGTGATTCTTCCATCATCCAAGCAAGGTATGAACCCTAAAACCCTTGATTCCTTCATCTCGATTTCTCTATTGCTTGTTTCTCTTGATTTTTGATTGCATGTGTCCCTTGGGACTTTTCTTGAGTAATTGCTTTCTTTATGCTTCATATTTGTATAATCTTGTGAATTTGCCTCACCTCACCTCTGTTTTCACTTAGAACTTGTTGCATGTGCTTGATTGAATTTGAGTTTGGTATTGGTTAAGATGCTTGTTTTCACTAGAATTGCTATTGTTCCATTTACTTAGTTGTTCTTGGTTCAATTTGATTGATTAGCATCTTTCCAGCTCTTATTGTTGAATTAGGTTCGGTTATACTCTGTTTTCACTCTCAGCTCGATCGAGTTTGTCACTCGAGTTTTTTGACTCGATCGAGCTGAGTGTCGAGTTGCCAAACCATCATTGCAACTCTAATTCTTTGAGTTTTTGATGCATTTCAGGTACTTTAGTGAAAACAAGTTCAAGATGTTGAGAGTGAGGGAAGCCGCAGCTTCAGAAAGAAGGAGAGAAAGCAAGAGAATGAGAGAAAGGATGTAAGATGAAGGATATGTGAGAAAGGGAAGAGAGGAACCAGCAGATGGAAGATCTGATGCAGGGATGTCTCTGAGGAGCAGTCTGAAAGAGAGGTTGAGGGAAGAAAGGAGAACCAAGAAGAGGAATGACCCATAGTAGTGAGAGTGAGCAAGGGAGAGTTTGAGATTGGAGTGAACCTTGTTCAAGAGGGGGATGGCTCTCCAATGAAGAGGAAGTGATGAGACTGAGAGTGAAGAGGAAGGAGAAGAGGTGAACCAATTGGTTGATGAGAGTGATCAAGAGGGAACCAAGATGAGCCATGGAGGAGGCTGAGCCACAAGAGGAGGAAGAAGAACTCCCCATGTACCAAGAGCACTACAATGCTCTCTTCTCCATGGACTTTGTGGAGACCAAGTACCCACATGATGACACATGAGGCCTTGGGATCTTTGAGGATGTGGAGTTGGTGCTCAAGAACATGCACTTGGCCAAGTTCTTCTCTCACCGCATGGAGTCTACAAGGAGCTCACTTGTGAGTTTTTGGCTCAATGAGGTATCACCATTTGATGAGCTCGATCGAGCTGAGTTGGACCAAGGCTGGGGGATCAACGTTCTTGGCAAGGGAGAGAAGAAGATGGTGACCTTTAGGCAGCTTGAGATACTGTTTGGGTTCACTATGGAGAAGGAAACCTGTGGAACATCAAGGAAGATGAACTCCAAAGAGTTGGGCTACAATCGCTGAAGAGGGGTACTCTTCCTCAAGGTCCAAGGCTGCCCAGATCAGGAGTCCTGTGCTTGAGATATGTCCACAAGGCTCTTGCCAACACCTTCTTTGCAAGGAAAGCACTGGACAATCAATGAGGGAGAAGTGAAGCTCCTTGACATGGGAATCAAGCCTATCATCTCACGCACAAGGATGGGAAGAAGATCAGAGGAGATAGGGCACATGCAGGGAACTCATGCCTCTCCTTGAGCAGCTCTCGCCTACAAGTCACAGCCTACAACACTAGGCAAACGGGAAGAAAGCTAAGTGTTGGAGGGTGATCACACCAATCTTTGTGCAGCTGGAGTCAACTGACAAGAGTCTGGTGGACAAGAGAAGGTCTACTCCAGCAGGTTGGATGGACATCAAGTTTTGCAAGACCAACCTCCTCATTGAGCACAAGGAGTTGGATGGGAGGTTCCAATTCAAGTTCACACATCCATTGGCTGGACCCTTCCAAGCTTCTCCTGCCCAACCCTGAGCTCACCACAGGTCTAGGAGGTGAGAACATTGACTTCAGACCCCCTGTGTACACATTAGTTGGGCATGAAGATTTGCGAGAAGAGGAGCCTGAGCTCGATCGAGCTGAGGATCGAGCTGAGTCAAGCTGAAGATCAGTCCAGGAAGTGCGGATTTGGGTGAGCCTGAGTGCTATTATTTTGAGGAGTATGAGGCTCCAAGGATGAACCCCTCTGTTGTGGCTGCCCACAAGAGGATTGGACTTCTCCAAAAGTTCAACAAGTGGCAAGGGAAAGCCATGGAAAGATGCAAAAGTCCATGGACAAGATGGTGAGCAAGATCAAGAGTTTGGAGAAGAAGTTTCTGGTTCTTCAAGCAAGAAGAAGAAGGCACCCAATGGCCCCCACTTTCCCTAGGAGTAGATCACTCCTCACCACTCAAGGAGGCTCCCTGCCCAAGAGCCTCACAGAGCCTCTTCTTTCGAGCCAAGGGAAGGAGAAGACAACACGCAGAGAAGGAGGAAGACTTCCAAGGCCAGACGCTCCAGCTCGACCACCGGACTCGATCGAGTCCAAACAGAGGAAACTCAACTCGATCGAGCTGAGGGTCGAGTTGACCTGGAGGAGCCCCTTTGAGAACCCGGATTCGAGTACGATCCAACGCCTACCAAGGACTTCTCTCAGACCTGGACCCCTACAACGCTTCGAGCAAGCCAGCTCCACCAAGGCCAAGGGAGCCACACACACTTTGATGAAGAAGAGGAAGAAGAGGAGCCGCAAGCTCGATCGAGTGAGCAACCCAGTCGAGTGGAGTGCTCCTGATGGCCGTCTCCCATCTCCAGACCACGACCTTGCCTCCCAGTTCTTTGGGGGGCACTGAGGTATCCAAACACCAACCCTTGTAATACCATTTCATATTTTCTTTGTTTTTTTTTCTTGGTTTTGCCCTCTTGAATCTTTCACTAAATTTTCTCACACAAGGGACTGTGTGATTTAAGTTTGGGGGAGGGTTCAAGAGATGATTTAACCTTGTTTTCTTTGTTCTTAGTTTTTCATTTATCTTTTGCATAGAAAAACCAAAAAAATCATAAAATTTTCAAAAAATCCAAAAATATTTTCATCTTTTTGCATTCATATTTGTTAGACTTGTTTAGGATTGCATTTTTCACTTGCATTGTTGATTTGACTTTGAAAACTTGTCCATCTTTTGCGATTTCTTGAGTGCCCTGTTTTTAGATTCTTTTGTGCATTAGGGTGAGATTGATTGAGCAGCAAGAACCATGTTTATCTTGATCATATCACTGCATGCACATCTCATTCAACCATTGCTGTGATTTGATGCATTTCCCTATCTATTTGAACCATAACTTGATCTTTAATTACCAATGCTTGCATTTGATTTCAACTCATGGCTACCACATACATATCTGGACATTCTTTACCATTTTCATATCCCTTTGCTTGTCCAGATAGCTGATCTCTATCTTTGAGACAGTTACCACACCTTAAACCTAAGCCTTTTCATTTCAAACCCCATTTTATCTCTTGTGCGAATGTGAGAACCTTTCTTGGCTTTGCTTAGCATAAGGTGTTGTGTTTAAACCGGCAGGGGCAGTAGTTCTAGTTGTCTAGTTCTCTTGGGATTGTTTTCAGGCTAAGTTTGGGGGTGCCAACTCGAGCTCGATCGAGTTGGGTGTAAAAACCAGAAAAGTGGTAAAAGTTGGGAAAATCCAAAGGAAAAAGAGTTTAGTTAAGTCCAGGGAGTTGGCAGTGTTAAAAAGGGTCTAGTAAAGGTTTGGGAAGTTAAAAAAGGAAGTAAAAAGGGTTCTAAGTAGAATGAAAAGAAGGCAAAGCCTCAAGTGTCAAAAAGAAAGAAAAGTTCCCTAAGTGTTTAGAAAATCCCAAACCGCTAGATGTTACCTCAAGAAGCCTCTCCCTAGGAAGTTCTTAAAAGAAAAGTGAGCAAAGCTCCTCAGTTTCAAAGGCGAAATGCCAAAAAGGGTAGTTAGGATTTTGTTCTAAAAAGCTCTAAGTGTTGAACTCGATCGAGTTAGGATTAGACGGCTCGAGCTGCTGTTCTTGCATCATCTTTGGTTCTAACACTTAGCCTTCTGCCAAAGCAAAGCCACTTTCTTGAGAGATCCCTGTTACTAAACCACCATACAAAAGAGACCCTCTTTGTCTCTTAACCCATAAACCCTTGAAACCAAATGAGTTGATTGATCTTGCATGTTTTTGGTTCACTGTTTTTGCTTAATGAATGTTAAAGGGATTTGCTGATTTGAATGCATTGTTTGAGTGACTGTGAAGTGGGATTGATGTTGATAAGCATGGTTAAATCTTAATGAATATCTCTCACCTTGTTGCATTCTAGAATCTCTAAGTTGGACATTTAGCAAATCGCTTTTGAGGACATGTTTTTAAGTGTTGAATCAGCTTGTTTTCAAACCTCATCTCTTTCTTGTTCTATTTGTTTGCTTGAGGGCAAGCAAAGTTCAAGTTTGGGGGTGTTGATGTACTTGCATTTTACATAGTTTTAGTACATCTTTTATGCATCTTTTGCATAGTTTTAGCATCCATTAGCATCATATCTTGTTCCTTTTCTCTTCTTATGCATTCATGTAGTTTTAGGTTGCATTTGCATACATATGCATGTTTGGTCCTTTGAAATAGGTCTTTTGGAGCATTCTGGAGCATATGGGACAAGGAGCATGGAGGGACTTGGCACATGGACGCAGCTCAACTGGATACGCAAAGGAAGAAGGAGAAGCCATCTTGAAGACCAGCTCGACCCCTACTCGACCAACCGGTCGAGTTCCTCAACTCGACCGGCCAAGCTTCAACTCGATCGAGCTGAGAAGTCAACAGTCAAACCCGAAAAATGTTGCTTCCCCCTTGACTTTCCTTTGACCCTAAACCTAATCCTCTTGTATTTAAAGGCTAAAAGCCACGAAAAAACCACCAAGCTTTAGATTACTTTTTTTTTAGTTTCTTTTAATTTATTGTCTTTTACTTTTTAGAGCTCTAATCCCATCTTTGTGTTCTTGAAGCTCTTGCTTCTTGAATCCTAGATCCTGGATAATCTCTTTGTATTTGCACTTGCTTATTTCAATAAAAGTTGTTTAATTCCTCTTTCTTATGATGTCTCTTTTATTGCATTTGCTTGTGTTTACATTCATGTGTAGTGAGTAGTTACCCATTAGGGTTTGAGATGGGATAGATTAGAGGTTTCATATGCTTAATCCTTCTTGCTTATGGTCTTAATCTAGATTCTCTCTCTTTTGGATAATCTTAAGGCTACATGACCACTACCCCTGGCTTGTATGTCCTTAGGCGATTCTCCACATGGAAGTGATGGAAATCGCTGGAAAAGATCCACTAAGAGCTCCAATATCTCTTGCTCTAGAAATAGAGGTCTAAGGGGTTGGATGGATTAGTTTGGGCAATGATCCTATGGCCTCCAAGGTTTGATTCTCACTGGCTAACCCCCTGTTTCTGAGATCATTCCTTGGTTGATAGCTTCACCTTGGGAAAGGGTTGGCTAGGCATTGAGAAGCCCAATATCAAGAGAAGCCTTGATACAAGGAGTTTTAAGAGCAAGATGATTAAGTGTAGATTCCTCTGATTGCAAAACCCTGTCTTGAACCCTAATTCTCGCATTAGCTTGTTAAAGTCGCTGCCTTTATTGCTTTTCTCAACTCGACCCTAAACTCGATCGAGCTGGTACTCTGTTCCAACTCGACTCGAGTCCTTGGTCGAGCTGTTGCTCTACTGCTTTATTTACTTTCTGCATTTCATTTCATTTCATTTAGGTTGTTAGTGTTACTTCAAATCTATTACTGCTTGCTTGACTTCTTGTGTTTCATATTCTCATAGAGTGACAAGTTTCCCATTTTGGATTGATAACCTCTTTACTACATGACTATGATGGTTAAGAGGAATTGATTGATTGTGATTGCACCATACCATCATCTTTATTCACCACTGTTTGCATTCCACCTCATTTCATATCACACATCACAAAATCCTATCATCAGCTTCTCAGATGAATCCTATTGCTTCAGGAGTTTGACATAGAGGTTGTAGACAAGAAGGGAGTGGAGAATGGAGTTGCTGATCACCTGTCTAGGATGCGAGTCGAAGACATAGTCCCCATCAATGACTCTATGCCTGAAGAACAGCTTATGGCAATCATGGTTTTGAAAGAAGGTTTAGATGAAAAGATCAGGCTCGAAGAAGTCAAGGCTCTGCGAGATGAGAACCTGCTTTGGTATGCTGATATAGTAAACTTCATGGTAGCTGGGGAGGTTCCAAATGATTTTGATGCTTACAAGAGGAAGAAGTTCTTCAAGGATGTCAGGCACTACTATTGGGATGAGCCTTACTTGTTCAAAAGAGGACCATATAGCATTTACAGAAGATGCATAGCTGAAGAAGATGTACAAGGAGTTCTAGAGCATTGCCATGGTCTACTTATGGAGGTCACTTTGCCACATTCAAAACCGCGACTAAGGTTTTGCAATCTGGGTTATGATGGCCTACTTTTTTCAAGGACGCAGCAAGCTTCATTGCCAAGTGTGATCCATGCCAAAGGAAAGGAGGGATCACCAAGAGAGATGAAATGCCACTAAACCCAATTCTTGAGGTTGAGATTTTTGATGTATGGGGAATAGACTTCATGGGACCTTTCAAGCCTGCCTCAAATGGGCACAACTACATTTTGGTGGCTGTGGACTATGTGTCCAAATGGATAAAAGTCATTGCTTGCTCAGCTTGTGATGCCAAAGTCGTCATCAAACTTTTCAGAACTATTATCTTCCCAAGATATGGCATTCCAAGAGTTGTTATCTCAGATGGAGGTTCCCATTTCATCAACAAGGTGTTTGAAAAGTTGATGAAGAATTATGGAGTCAAGCACAAGGTTGCCACGCCCTACCATCCTCAAACTAGTGGGCAACTTGAAGTTTCCAACAGACATATTAAGGCTATACTGGAAAAGACTGTGAGCTTCACTAGAAAGGATTGGTCAACAAGGCTTGATGAAGCACTTTGGGCCTATAGAACAGCCTAAAAGACACCAATAGGAAGATCACCCTACAACCTATTGTATGGAAAGTCTTGCCATTTACCTGTGGAAGTTGAGTACAAAGCGCTATGGGCAATAAAGATGTTCAACTATGATATAAAGATAGCACAAGAGAAAAGAGTCATGGATCTACATGAGTTGGAGGAAATTAGATTGGATGCTTATGAGAACTCTAAGATCTACAAGGAAAGAACTAAGACAGCCCATGACAAGCTAATTCGCCTCAAGGACTTCAAGGCAAGAGATAGTGTACTGTTGTTTAACTCCAAACTAAGATTGTTTCATGGGAAGCTAAGGTCCAAGTGGGTAGGACCATTTAAGATCCAAGAAGTTCTACCTTATGGGTCGCTCACTCTGCTCAACAAGGAAGGGAAAGAGTTCACAGTAAATGGCCACAGATGCAAGCCTTACTTGGGGGAAACAGATGATAATGAAGAAGAGATCGTCACTCCTCTTCAAGATCCAATCCCCGCCTAAAAGGTTAAAGGTCAAGCTATGCGACCTAAAACAAGCTCACTTGGGAGGAATTCCCATGTCTATCTTGTATATATTTGCTTTTCTCTTTTATCTGTGTGTTTTTCTTGGCTAAGTCTTGCAGAAACAGGTTACTGGGGAGAGACACCTATTCGCTCGAGGCATCAGCTCGATCGAGCCAAGGAAGAGCCACCAGCTCGATCGAGATGTATGGAGATGGTCGAATGGAGTGCTCCTGATGGCCGCTTGCCCTCTCCAGACCACGACCTTGCTTCCCAGTTCTTTGGGGAGCACTAAGTGATGCTGAAGATTTGTGTGTGGATGTGAAAAGATGAAATGAGATGAGTGGAATGCAATCAGTGGTAATGATGGTGGTAAGATGCAAACACAAACACAGTCAACAATTCCTCTTAACCATCATAGTCATTGAAGTATAAGAGGTTATCAATCCAAAATGGGAAACTTGTCACTCTATGAGAATATGAAACAACCAGAAAGTCAAGCAAGCAGTTATAGATTTGAAGTAACACTAACAACCTAAGAAATGAAATGCAGTGCAATAAAAGTAAACAAAGCAGTGAAGTAGCTCGACCAAGACTCGAGTCGAGTTGGACAGAGTACCAGCTCGATCGAGTTTAGGGACGAGTTGAGACAAAAAAGTAAAGGTGACGACTTTAACAAGATAAAGAGAGAATTAGGGTTCAAGACAGGGTTTTGCAATCAAAGGAATCTACACTTAATCAATCTAGCTCTTAAAACTCCTTGTATCAAGGCTTCTCTTGATATTGGGCTTCTCAATGCCTAGCCAACCCTTTCCCAAGGTGGAGGCTATCAACCAAGGAATGATCTCAGAAACAGGGGGTTAGCCAGTGAGAATCAAACCTTGGAGGCCATAGGATCATTGCCCAAACTAATCCATCCAACCCCTTAGACCTCTATTGTCTAGAGCAAGAGATATTGGAGCTCTTAGTGGATCTTTTCCAGCGAATGCCATCACTTCCGTGTGGGGAGTCGCCTAAGGACTTACAAGCCAGGGGTAGTGGTCATGTAGCCTTAAGATCTATCCAAAAGAGAGAGAATCTAGATTAAGACCATAAGCTAGAAGGATTAAGCATATGAAACCTCTAATCTATCCCATCTCAAACCCTAATGGGTAACTACTCACTACACATGAATGTAAACACAAGCAAATGCAATAAAAGAGACATCATAAGAAAGAGGAGATGAAATTAAACAACTTTTATTGAAATAAGCAAGTGCAAATACAAAGAGATTAATCCAGGATCTAGGATTCAAGAAGCAAGAGCTTCAAGAACACAAAGATGGGATTAGTTCTAAAAAGTAAAGACAATAAATTAAAGAAACTAAAACAAAATAATCTAAAGCTTGGTGGTTTTTTCGTGGCTTAGAGCCTTTAAATACAAGAGGATTAGGTTTAGGGTCAAAGGAAAGTCAAGGGGGAAGCAACATTTTTCGGGTTTGACTGTTGACTTCTCAGCTCGATCGAGTTGAAGCTTGGCCGGTCGAGTTGAGGAACTCGACCGGTTGGTCGAGTAGGACGGTCGAGCTGGTCTTCAAGATGGCTTCTCCCTTCTTCCTTTGCGTATCCAGTTGAGCTGCTTCCATGTGCCAAGTCCCTCCATGCTCCTCATGTCCCATATGCTCCAGAATGCTCCAAAAGACCTATTTCAAAGGACCAAACATGCATATGTATGCAAATGCAACCTAAAACTAACATGAATGCATAAGAAGAGAAAAGGAACAAGATATGATGCAAATGGAAGCTAAAACTATGCAAAAGATGCATAAAAGATGTGCTAAAACTATGTAAAATGCAAGTACATCACTAAGGTACCAAACACCACCCCCCTTTGTATATACCATTTCATGCATTTTTCTTTATTTTCTTGGTTTTTGCCTCTTGAATCCTTCAATGAATTTCTCTCACACAAGGGACTGTGTGATTTAAGTTTGGGGGAGGGTTCAAGAGATGATTTAACCTTGTTTATTTGTTCTTAGTTAGAAAAACCAAAAAAATCATAAAATTTTCAAAAAATCCAAAAATATTTTCATCTTTTTGCATTCATATTTGTTAGAATTGTTTAGGATTGCATCATTCACCTCTGTTTTAGTTGCATTGTTGATTTGATCTTGAAATTGTTCATCATTTGCGATTTATTGAGTGCCCTATTTCTAGATTCTTTTGTGCATTAGGGTGAGATTGATTGAACAACAAGAACCATGTTTAACTTGATCATATCGCTGCATGCACATCTCATTCAACCATTGCTGTGATTTGATGCATTTCCCTATCTATTTGAACCTTAAACTTGATCTTTAATTACCAATGCTTGCATTTGATTTCAACTCATGGCTACCACATACATATCTGGACATTCTTTGCCTATTTCTTATCCCTCTTGCTTGTCCAGATAGCTGATCTCCATCTTTGAGACAGTTACCACACCTTAAACCTAAGCCTTTTCATTTCAAACCCCATATTATCTCTTGTGCGAATTGTGAGAACCTTTTCTTGGCTTTGCTTAGCATAAGGTGTTGTGTTTAAAAGCAGTAGTTCTAGTTATCTAGTTCTCTTGGGTTGTTTTCAGGCTAAGTTTGGGGGTGTTGAGCTCGATCGAGTTGGGTGTCAAAACCAGAAAAGTGGTAAAAGTTGGGAAAAACAAAAGAAAAAGAGTTTAGTTAAGTCCAGGGAGTTGGCATTGTTTAAAAAGGGTCTAGTAAAGGTTTGGGAAGTTAAAAGAAAGTAAAAAAGGGTTCTAAGTAGAAAGAAAAGAAGGCAAAGCCTCAAGTGTCAAAAAGAAAGAAAAAGTTCCCTAAGTTAGAAAAATCCCAAACCGCTAGATGTTACCTTAAGAAGCCTCTCCCTGTGTTGTTCTTAAAAGAAAAGTGAGCAAAGCTCCTCTGTTTCAAAGGCGAAATGCCAAAAGGGTAGTTAGGATTTGTTCTTTAAAAAGCTCTAAGTGTTGAACTCGATCGAGTTAGGATTAGGTGGCTCGAGTTGCTGCTCTTGCATCATCTTTGGTTCTAACACTTAGCCTTCTGCCAAAGCAAAGCCACTTTCTTGAGAGATCCCTGTTACTAAACCACCATACAAAAGAGACCCTCTTTGTCTCTTAACCCATAAACCCTTAAACCAAATGAGTTGATTGATCTTGCATGTTTTTGGTTCACTGTTTCTTAATAAATGTTAAAGGGATTTGCTGATTTGAATGCATTGTTTGAGTGACTGTGAAGTGGGATTGATGTTGATAAGCATGGTTAAAATCTTAATGAATATCTCTCACCTTGTTGCATTCTAGAATCTCTAAGTTGGACATTTAGCAAATCGCTTTTGAGGACATGTTTTTAAGGTTGAATCAACTTGTTTTCAAACCTCATCTCTTTCTTGTTCTATTTGTTTGCTTGAGGGCAAGCAAAGGTCAAGTTTGGGGGTGTTGATGTACTTGCATTTTGCATAGTTTTAGTACATCTTTTATGCATCTTTTGCATAGTTTTAGCATCCATTAGCATCATATCTTGTTCCTTTTCCTTCTTATGCATTCATAGTAGTTTTAGGTTGCATTTGCATACATGTGCATGTTTGGTCCTTGAAATAGGTCTTTTGGAGCACTTTGGAGCATTTGGGACGTGAGGAGCAAGGAAGGACTTGGTGCATGGACGCAGCTCAACCACACGCAAAGGACGAAGGAGGAAGCCATCTTGAAGTCAGCTCGACCATCTACTCGACCGGCCAAGTTCCAACTCGATCGAGCTGAGGAGTCAACAGTCAAACCCGAAAAATGTTGCTTCCCCTTGACTCCCTTTGACCCTAAACCTAATCCTCTTGTATTTAAAGGCTCTAAGCCACGAAAAAGACAACAATCTTTAGCTTTTTTTTGTTTTAGCTTTTCTTTAATTTGTAATTTACTTTTTGCAACTCTTAAGCCTCTCTTTGTGTTCTTGAGCTCTTGCTCTTGAACCTTAGATCTAGGCTATTTCTTTGTATTTGCACTTGCTTATTTCAATAAAAGTTCTTTAGTTTCATTCCTCTTTCATTAATGTCGATTTCATTGCATTTGATTGTGTTTTCATTCATGTGTAGTGAGTAGTTCCATTTAGGGTTTAAGATGGGCTAGATTAGAGGATCTTTATGCTTAATCTCTATTGCTTATGTTCTTAATCTAGAAATCTCTCTCTTTTGGAAACTTAAGGCTACATGACCACTACCCCTGGTGTGTATGAGTCTAGGCGATTTTCCACATGGAAGTGATGGAAATCGCTTGAAAAGGTCCACTAAGAGCTCCAATAAACCTTGCTCTCGAAATGGAGTTCATAGGTGTTGGATGGATTAGTTTGAGCAATGATCCTACTGCCTCCAAGGCTTGATTCTCACTGGCTAACCCCCTGTTTCTGAGATCTTGCCTTGGATGATAGCTTTCACCTTGGGAAAGGGTTAGCTAGGCATTGAGAAGCTCAATATCAAGAGATAGCTTGAGTACAAGTTGTTTAAGAGCAAGATTGATTAAGTATAGTCTTCCCCTAGTCGGAAGACCCTGTCTTAGACCCTAATATTCGCATTAGCATCTTAAAGTTCGTCTTTATCGCTTTTACTCTGTTTTTACGTCAACTCGACCCTCAACTCGATCGAGCGTTACTCTGTTCTACTCGATCGAGCCCTTGGTCGAGCTGCTTGCATTACTGTTTTCTTTTACTTTATGCACTGCATTTCATTTCATTAGGTTGTTAGATTCATCCCCCTTTATTGTACTGCTTGACTTTCTTGTGTTTGCATATTCTCAAAGAGCAACATCTCACCCTTTTGGATTGATAACCTCTTATACTACATCGACTATGATGGTTAAGAGGAATTGATTGATTGTGATTGCACCATACCATCTCATCTTTATTCACCCTGTTTGCATTCCACCTCATATCATTACATCATTTCATATCACATATTACCGCAAATCCTATCATCACTGACACTTAGTTTGTGTTTCAACATTTCCCACAGATCCTGCCTCCTCATTTACCCCAGGGTTAGCTTTTTTTGTCTCCTTCCTCTCTTCTTTTTTGTAGAGCACATCTTAGTTCTCCTGAAATATGTCAATAAAACAAACAAGTCAAAAAACAAACAAGTCAAGAAAATCAAACAAATGAGCAATCAAACATCACGCAGAGCACACAAAATCAAGGAAAAAAATGACCAAGAAACTACGTTTAACACATATATGCCTTCACAATCAGCCCGACTACTTTCTGCTTCTTCCATGTCTACATCCATGACAACACTAGATGGCAATGGTCCAATCTCCGCAAGTCCATCATCAGATTCTTTCTTACTGTATCTCTGTGAAGGGCCTCGCATAACAACATGCCAATTTGATGACTCGTCTTCTCTTAGGTAAAATACTTGCTTCGCATGAGAGGCTAATATATATGGATCCTTTGAAAATGAGACCTGACTATGATTCATGTTAACTATTGTGAAACCATCTTCTATCTTAACTCCATTAGCCTTCACTGCCCATTGACACTGAAATAGAGGAACGTAAAAAACATTATAATCCATCAGTATAATGGTTGTTACTCTGCCATAGTATGATACCAAGTCAACCACCTGTGAAGTGTCTTTCGCACTAGACCTATAGACTGCTGTAGCCTCATAGAAAACCCCACTATTCTGACTTTTCCTATCAACTGATCTTGTGTGAAATTGTTGCCCATTCACAATATAACCTGTATACGACCGTGCAGAGCTAAGTGGTCCATACGCCAACCATTTAAGTGTTTCCCCATGGTCGTCTGAATCAAGAGGTATCTGAAAAACCATAAATTAGACATCTACATACAGAATGATAAGTAGACGACATTAAGTTAAGGTGGAATTCACTTGCCTGTTTTTAAGCCAAGATGCAAAGTTGTCACTGTGCATACTCCATAGAAATGACGCATCACATTTACATCTTCCATTTGAGTCTTGTAGATATTAAAGGTGTTCACTTGGTTTCCAAAAAAAAAAACAAGACATTTCATTAGACACGCGAAGGGAGATAGCAACGACAAACAACAATGTCTCTAAGATGTGGAACTTACTCAACATAATAGGAATTTTAGGTTACATACCTATTCCATGTACTAAGAGGATTTTATTTATTAAATTAATATGTGTTTGGATAATATAAATTTGATGAATGGAAAAACCTTTTTATGTTAGGATATGAAAAATATTAGTTTTTAATTTTTAAATTTTATAATTTCGTTTTTTTTTATCCTTTTTCTAGTATTTTTTAAAAATATTATTTTCCCCCTAATACACGTGTCACTATCTTAACGGACATAACTTTAAAATTGACACATGTCGCGATCATGTATTTTATAAAAATCCTACGTGTCGCAACCACATTGCGCGCATCCAACTTTATATAATAAGATTTTAATATTGTCACAAAGTAGTAACAATTATGTCATTAAGTATGACCTAACACATACGAAAACAGTAGCTAAATGTGACAAGATACTTACATATATTTTGTAACTATGAGTGACAGAAGTTTTGTTACCAAAATTGTAATAATTTAGTTACAAGATTCAGTCACAAAACCGTAACCACATTTCTTACATTATATTTCATAACAATTTTGACACAATTTGTGAAAAAAATTTGTTATTTTTATTTCTGTCACAATATTATAATGAAATGCTTACGCTTTTATTACCAATTAATTTCGTCACATTATGGTATATAAATGGTCATAATATTATGACTAAACGATTGGTCACAATTTTTTTGTCACAATAATCACTTTTTTTTTGTAGTGAACATAAATATAAAGAATACAAATTTTCTATTATTTCTGCCTTTGAAATTTATGCTACGAATCAGAACACGTTTTCGTTCTTAAGAGGATAAAATTTTACGGCTACGGGTTAAAACATATATACTTAAGTGAACAAAAATATTTCAAACCATAACTAAAAAAAAATTAATAATAATAATAATAAGAGATAATGATTAGAACTACCCTTAATTCTACTGAAATGACTAGAATAACTCTCTAGTTTTTACAAGCATGAAAAAGTGGTGAAAAGTCATTTTTTATTCTTCATGGTTCGTTTTATTTACAAGTCTGCCATTTTTGAAAAAAAAAACATATTTTTCTTTCTTTTCTATTTTCTTCTCATTTTATTTTTGTTTTCTTTTCACCACTTTCTTTTCTGAAATCGCGAAAACCTAAAATCTCTTCGCTTCTCTTCTTTTTCCGCGAAAGAGCCGGCGGCGCTTCCCAAAATTTCTCCAGACCGGCGGCAGTTCAAGAAAACCCTCCGCCAAAAAACCCTAAAATAACCGACGAGATTTCTTCTTCTTCTTCCTTTTTCGGCGAGAAAACCACTACTTCCTTCTACCTCTCTGGTGAAATCTCCATTTTTTCCTTGATTCGCGAGAAAACCTTCAATCAAAGAAATCCTCGTCGATTCACTCTGTCGGTGCTTCCTTCACTAGCCATGGCTGCAAAACTTGTGTCCTCCTCGGCTTCTTCTTTAGTTCCATCCTTTTTCTCACCATTCCAACCTCGGAGCTCCATTCACGTGCCTTTTGTTTGATCTGTCTTCCCTTAATTCACCATTTAGATTTTTTCGTCAATGCTGCATCTATGTTTCTTTGTGTATTGATTTCTTGTATCGTTTTTGTTGTTTGTTTTTGATCATGTGATTTGAGACCCTGATGTACTTGCATTTTGCATAGTTTTAGTACATCTTTTATGCATCTTTTGCATAGTTTTAGTATCCATTAGCGTCATATCTTGTTCCTTTTCCCTTCTTATGCATTCAATGTAGTTTTATGTTGCATTTGCATACATATGCATGTTTGATCCCTAAACAGATATTTTTGGAGCACTATGGAGCAACTGGGACGTGAGGATCAAGAAAGGACATGGTGCATGGACTCAGCTTGACCGCATGCTCGGAGTAAAGAAGGAAACCGCCTTTGAAGCCAGCTCGACCCACCTACTCGATCTGTCGAGTCCGACAACTCGACCGGCCAAGGACTAACTCGATCGAGCTGGGGAGTCAATGGTCAAACCCAAAAAATGTTGCTTCCCTTTGACTCCCCTTTGACCCTAAGCCTAATCTCTTTTGTATATGAGGGCTTGTAGCCACGAAAAAAGACAACTCTCTTTAGCTTAATTTCGTTTTGCTTTTTCTTTAATTTTGTAATTTACTTTTCGCAAAAACCTTAGCCTCTCTTTGTGTTCTTAATCTCTTGCTCTTGAACCTTAGATTTAGGCTTTATCCTTTTGTATTTGCACTTGCTGATATACCTTTATTTTACATGCTTTTTATACTATGTTTGTATGGTTTTCTAATGGTTTTTAGCAGGTTTTCTATCTAAAAAGGTAGTTTTATTGGAGTTATAGTACTAAGAGTCTAAACAAGTGAAATGATGCATTTTGGAGCAAAACCATAGGATTTGCACTTCAACCTGCTCCATATCGAAGTATCAACTTTGAGAAGGCCTGAAAAATAATCTACTCAATGGATTTCATCAAGACCACTTCGCCGCGTGCCCTGAGTGAGTTAACTTTTCAACGCAAGTGAATTCGCATCATTTGGATGAGTAGAAACGGAGTTATGATCAAAAATAAGCAGTGGCGAGAAAAAGGCCACCGTTTCGCCACCCATTTGCCACCAAAATGCAAATGCGCAAATAATGGCCATTCAGTTGCCAATCAGTGGCTATAAACCCTTGAAACCAAATGAGTTGATTGATCTTGCATGTTTTTCGTTAACTGTTTTTGCTTAATAAATGTTAAAGGGATTTGCTGATTTGAAGTGGGATTGATGTTGATAAGCATGGTTAAGTCTTAATGAATATCTCTTACCTTGTTGCATTCTAGAATCTCTAAGTTGGACATTTAGCAAATCGCTTTTGAGGACATGTTTTTAAGTGTTGAATGAACTTGTTTTCAAACCTCATCTCTTTCTTGTTCTATTTGTTTGTTTGAGGGCAAGCAAAGGTCAAGTTTGGGGGCGTTGATGGGCAAGCAAAGGTCAAGTTTGGGGGTGTTGATGTACTTGCATTTTGCATAGTTTCAGTACATCTTTTATGCATCTTTTGCATAGTTTTAGCATCCATTAGCATCATATCTTGTTCCTTTTCCCTTCTTGTGCATTCATAGTAGTTTTAGGTTGCATTTGCATACATATGCATGTTTGGTCCTTTGAAATAGGTCTTTTTGAGCATTTTGAAGAATATGGGACTAGAGGAGCAAGGAAGGACTTGGTGCATGGACGCAGCTCAAACGGATACGCAAAGGAAGAAGGAGGAAGTCATCTTGAAGACCAGCTCAACCACCAGCTCGACCATCCGGTCGAGCTGAGAAGTCACTCGACCGGCCAAGCTTCCCCTTGATTTTCTTTTGACCCTAAACCTAATTCCCTTTGTATTTAAAGGCTCTAAGCCACGAAAAAGACAACAATCTTTAGCTTATTTTTGTTTTAGCTTTCTTTAATTTATTGTCTTTACTTTTTAGAACTCTTAATCCAATCTTTGTGTTCTTGAAGCTCTTGCTTCTTGAATCCTAGATCTTGGTTTATTAGCTTTGTATTTGCACTTTGCTATTTCAATAAACAAAGGCAGCTTGTTTCCTCTTTGAGTTCTCCTTGAAGTCATGTGCTGTCTCATTGGGAAGTCCAAAGAGTTGGCATAGAGCTGAGATGGAGATGCGCCCATTGGCATCGCCTATCTTGAAGAGTAGGAGTCCTTCACCAGCTGGTTGGTCTCCATTGTGGTTGGGAAAGGCAAGAGCTACTGTAGAGAGGAACTCCTTGGTGAGTTGTGAGTACTCACTACATTCTAGCTTGAAGAGCTTGCTCAAGCCTAGCTTCCTTATGTACCATGTGACATCATCTCTTATCTTGAGAAGATCAAGGGTTTGGGTGTCCATCTTCACACATGGCTCGATGTTCACCTTCTCCATTGCCTTCTTACACTTTCTTGGGTCTTGATTTTGTTCTCCAACAAAGGTTACAAGTGCCCAATCATCTTCTCTTCTTGGACTCTCCACATGTTCTTGACTTGCATCAATGGAATGTGGTGAAGTTGGTATTTCTGCTCTTGCATTGGAGCTACTACTCCCTAGCTTGGTTGCATGAATGGGTTCTTCTTCTTCTTCATACTCTCATTTCCTTTTGTCTTTGCCATTGGTGTACCTACAAGAGCAAATTCTTGGGAAGAAATATGAGTTTGTGATTAATGCAAAAGAAGAATAAGCTAATTGAGTTGCAATAATGATATGGAATAAAGGAACAACTCAAGGCTTAATCATGAATCAAAGAGACAAAATAGAAATTTCACTTTTTCAAAATTAATTTTCGGATTTTACTGTTCATCCCAAGATTATGGTGCTTAAAATCAAAATTTTCAGCAAATCAAGAGAAATTGAGTTTCTAATCCAAGTAATCACTAGATAAACTAATGAATTGAAGTATGCCAAGCAATTTCACCTTTGAATAAGGGGTTTGGAATGCCCAATAAGTTTTGTGAAAAACTATTCAATTGTGAAATTAAACTTCAAATTAACTCTAAACCACCTAGGTTCCACCTAGCTAAGTTCATTACAAGACTAATAAGGATGCTAATTTCAAGTCTAGACAAGAGTTTAGACCAAACATGAAACTTATTGAAATTTTCGATCTTGCATAAACATAGGATTAGAGTTAGAAGACATACCTTGTGTGTTGAAAAGTGAATAAGGTTGCAAGAGCAAGTAAATTCCAATTTAGAGTTATGAACAGTAAAAGTTTTGAAATCAAAACTCTTAGAGTTCCTCTAATGGAGTTTAGGGTTTTGGAGAAGAAAGAGAGGTTCTTGTGGTTTTCAAGGGAAAGGTAAAGTAAATAAGATCTAAATCCTATCAATTTTCCTTTTCAAATTCGAATTTTGATTGAAAACCGGTTTAAGTTGGTTTAGATTGGTTAAAACCGGTTTGAATTAATGAAAAGGGGACTTACCTTGGCCTAGAAAAGTTTGGGCCGATGGCCGATGGATTTTGTCGCGGTCGAGCGATTTGGTCGGCCAAATTGTTTTGGCCGAGAATTTCGGCCGAGGCCGATCGTTTGTTTCCCGGATCGACCGGCACGGTCGGTCCGTTCCGATACATTTCGGCCGATCGCGGCCTTTCTTCCTGTCGTGGCTGCGCGCGAACGGTTTCTGTCGCGCAAGTGTCCGGCCGAGCACGGCTATTCCTTCCCGGCTCGACCGGACGGTCGGCCAGATGGAATTGCTCGGCCAAAATTTTTTTGCGCGTCCGCGGCCAATGTTTTGGCGCGGATTGTGTTTTCACACCTTTTTCTCCTTCTATCCTATCTTAAAACAAAGAAAACACAAAAGCAAAACAAAAACTAAGAAAATTAAAGAAAGAAAAGTAAAAGTACCTCATGGGTTGCCTCCCATGCAGCGCTTGTTTTAAGTCTTTAGCTTGACTGTAAGGCTTGGCGCTCAGGAGAAGATGGAGACAAGAGGCATCCTTGATCCTCCAAGTCTTTTCTCCTTGCAATGAGTATCTGGTGGGTGATTCACAGCTGGATAGACAATCTCTCCATGAATGTCCCTTGGCACTACTGCCTTAGGAAAAAGCTTTAGAGTTCTTGTCACTTTCTCCTTGAATCCTTCTAGATTCTCATCAATAAGCTCCTTTGGGAATAGAAGCTTCATGTTGCGGCCAGACCTAGGTTTTCTAACCTTCCTTCTTGGCTTGGCCTCATCTTCAATCTTGGTTGATCCCTTGGGCGGTTTTGGTGTAGGGGCCTTAGTCTTACTCCTTGCTTGTTTGGCAAGCTGCTTGGGCTTAGGAATGGGATCTTCCTTGATTGTTTCTTCAGTTTCTCCTTCTTGGGGTGGCTTCAAAGTAGCTTTCTCCTCTTGGACCATGTCAACAAAAGAGTTCTTTGTTGAACACATAGGGAAGAACATACCCTTGTTCACCTTGTTGAAAGAGATTCTTTGATTGGGGAAATCAAATATGGCACCCACAGTAGACAGGAAAGGGGTTCCAAATATGAGAGGTCTATGGCTACTCTCTCTCATTTCCACAATCTGGAAATCAGTAGGGATAGAGCAATTTCCAATCTGCACCATCACATTAGGCACAAAGCCATAGGGGTTTGTGAGAATGAATCAGCATAGTTGATGGAGATGGATGATGGCTCTATCTTGGTGAGGCCTATCTTGTCAGCTATCCTCTTAGACATGATGTTCACATTGGCTCCTGTGTCACACAAAGATTGCTCAAGAATGTTACCTTTGATGATACAAGGCACAAAACTTTCCTGAGTTATCTGTCTTGGGGATAATCTTTGGGAAGAGTCTTCTCTTTCTAGCTCGATTGGACTCTCTCTCTGGGTAATTCTCTTCAGGCCAAATCATGCAATCAACAGTAGGTTTTGAAAGCATCCATTCTGGAACTTGGTCTTCAAATCTTTCTTCTATGGCGGCTGAGTTGCAAAAGGACTTCTTGGATTCAGCTTCCTGTCTCTTAACAGCTTCCATAGTTTGAGTGACTTGAGTCTCTAGTTTCTTCACATGAGTGGCAACAGCATCATACTTGGTGTTGAGATTGCTGAACAAAGTGTCCATCTTCTCATACATCTCTTTAGTGTTTCTCTTCTGGCCATCCATGATCTGTTGGAGGATTCCTTCAAATCTCCCACCTTGTTGGTTTGGAGGAGCTTGATTTGGTGAAGAAGCATATGGCTCCTTGGGCGGATATGATGATCTCTGCTCATATCCTTGCCTTGGCTGAAATTGACTTCCTTGAGATTGGTAAGGAGGTCTTTGTTGTTGTGGATACCTTGGAGGATACACTTGGTCTTGAGGATTCTCCACATTGGGGTTTCTATAAGACATGTTGGGGTTTGGGCGATAGCTTGGATTGTATCCCTTGTTCCCATAGTTTCCAATGTAGTTCACATCTTCTTCATTGGCTTCATTAGAGAAATCTCCCATGCATTCTCTTGATGGGTCTTCATTAGCATCACTCATCCCTTCTATTGCATTGATATGCTTGAGCTGTCCCTTAAGAACTTGAGCCATCATGTTCTTGAGTTCAGTCATTTGAAAAGAATCAGGGGAGCTAGTAGTGGTGCGGCTTGAGCGGTCATAATCAGGACAGTTGTTACAATCACTAGCTGCAAGATTCTCAATAAGAACCTTAGCTTCATCAACAGTCTTGGTCATGAAGTTTCCATTGCTTGCAGTGTCCAATGAAAGCTTGTACTTGTGGTCTATGCCACGATAGAAGATGTTCCATAGGTTTCCCTCATTGAAACCATGATTAGGGCAGTCCCTAATGTACTCCTTGAATCGATCTAGCGCCTCATAGAAAGATTCATTGTTGCTTGGCGAAAGTTGGAGATCTTGTTCCTTACAGAAATTGATCTTTGCTTGGTGTAGAAGTGGTTGATGAATGCGCCTTGTACTCATCCCAAGTGGTGATGGAGTGAGCTGGCAGAGACTTCAACCATCTTGAAGCTTTGTCGCCAAGAGAGAATGAAAAGAGCTTGCACTTCAAGGTAGTCAGCAGAGACTCCATTGGATCTTGTAGTGCTGCAAATTTCTTCAAAGTTTTCTATGTGATCAAGAGGATGCTCAGCTGGAAGGCCATTGAATTGGTTCTGTCTAACCAATGCTATGATCTGAGGCTTGATCTCATAGTCATTCCTTGCAGGAAGTGGTGGATGGATAGGGTTTCTATCCATGAAGAAAGCATCGGCAGAGTCATAGTCTCCGATTGTTTGCTCGCTTGAGGTTGCACATTCACATCTCCAGCAGGATCTTGTGGATTAGGAGGAGGAGGTGGATCTCTTCCTTCTTCTTAGCGCGCGCCACTTCAGCGGCGTGAGCGCGAGCTGCTTCGTCGGCCATCTCTTGGGCTTTTTGCTTCCTAAGTTGCTTCTCAAGCTTGTCTATCTCTGGATGTTCAACTAGGTTGTCCTTGTTGGACCTCCTAGTCATGCACCTGAAAAGAGTCTTGGAAACAAGTTAAATCAAAAGGGAAAAACAAAAACAAAAGCAAAAATCAAAGAAAAGAAATCAAAAACTAAAATTCAAAAGCAAAAGAAAAGCAAAACAGGAAAAGGTTCTAGACTAGATCCTAGTCGAGTTCAAAGGTACTGCTGCAAGTGCACAGATCGCGGAAGTATGGGTATCGAACACAAGGACTGGCTATTGAGTACACTTTGAAACTATGGATTTTGGATCAAGCTAAAACAAAAGTATGATTGAGGTTGTAATGGTGAACCGAACTAGCAAGTAAACGAGGTTGTAAATCAATGGAAAAGCGCTAGGTCATAGGGGCTATCGCAGAGAAGCAAGCAATGATCAATGAAACAATGATAGATGAATTGATTAGGGATATTGGGATATTAAGAACCGTCTAGAACACAGATCACGAATATAAAACCATTCCACTTTCGAGGCTCCGGCTCCTTTGTTAATCTACCTAGTCGCTAAACTTTTGGTATGTCCCTAGGTGATTAAATCAAGCATTAGAATGAATAGGTTCTGATACAGTTCACTAGATTATAGTAGATCAACTTTCGCAGTCTAAGAAACCTAGCTTGTCAAAGAATATGTCCGGCGAATGATACAACACTGTCGAGGCTCAAATCAACCTAAGATCGGATTACTAGATGCGCGGTAAAGCAATCAGCATTAGTTAAGTGCACAAGACGAGACAAAGACTCTAATATAATCCCTAGCTAAACATCGAAATCAAAGATCATGCAAGCAACTCATTGATTAGTAACCCTAGCAACCTAACTAGTGGATTACTCAGACATGATCAAAGCAAACACACATAGAGATGAAGAAAACATGATTGCAATAAAACTTAGAGTAGAAATCGTGATACAAGGGCGGCTCTCTTCTCAAGAGGCTAAAAAGTTATATATAGTGCTAGGTCTTCAGAGGCGGCTTAGGGTTAAGCCGGGCTTGAAAACGTGTTCAAAACGGGCTTCGGGTCGACGGACGTTCGGACGGTCGGGGGACGATCGGCCGGATCAGATCGGGTCGTCGGTACGGTCGGAACGGTCGTGGCCGATGTTTTCGGTCGGCCGCGTGGTCGGACGGATGGATTTGGCCGATGAAACTTGGCCGGACGGGACGTGCTTCCTGTCGGACGGATGGGTCGGCCGCGGTACATGGGTGTGCGCGGCCGCGAGGCTTGCTTCCCGGTTCGCGCGCGCGGTCGTGCACGGCTTGTGGTGGCAGGTGGAACGGCCGACCGCGGGACGTTGTTTCCCGGGTCGGACGTGAGCCGGCCTGACTTGGCGGGATGCGGATACGTGCGGGCGATCGCGGTACGTTCGTTCCTCGGTCCGCCGGTGTGCGCTCGATAGCCGTCTGGACAGTCTTCACTCTTCATAACTCCTTTTCTACTCATCCAAATGATGCCATTCCAATTGCGTTGGAAAGTTAACTCAATCAGAGCACGCAGGGAACTGGTCTTGATGAAATCCATTGAGTAGATCTTTTTCTGGGCCCTCTTAAAGTTGATGCTTGTGCATGGAGCGGCTTGAAGTGCAAATCCTATGGTTTTGCTCCAAAATGCATCATTTCACCTGTTTAGACTCTAGACACTATAAACAAGTAAAACTACCTTTTTAGATAGAAAACCTGCCAAAAACCATTAGAAAACAATACTAAAACAGTATAAAAAGCATGTAAAATAGAGGGATATTAGGTTACATCAAGAGAAAACGAGATGCTGACTCGGCGGGTGACAGAAGCAGAAGTGCGAGATGCACTTTTTATGATGCACACAGAAAAAGCACATGGGCCAGATGGAATGGTGGCATTACTTTTTCAGCGATCATGGCATATAGTTAAGGAGAATATCATTACCATGGTGAATAATTTCCTTACCTCGGGAACTTTTGATGAACGGCTAAATGTGACCAATATATGTCTTATGCCAAAGACGAAACGCCTTACTAAGATGACGGAGTTACGGCCCATAAGTTTGTGTAATGTCGGCTATAAGATTATTTCAAAGGTCCTCTGCCAACGACTTAAGGTGCTGCTAGCAAGATTGATTTCAGAAACCCAGTCTGCGTTTGTGCCAGGCCGATTGATTTCTGATAACATCTTGATAGCTCAGGAGATGTTTCATGGTTTGAGAACAAATAAGTCATGTAAAGGAAAGTTTATGGCGGTGAAGACGGATATGAGCAAGGCTTACGACCGAGTCGAATGGCCTTTTATCGAGGAACTGATGCGAAAAATGGGGTTTGCAGAGCAATGGATCACATGGATGATGTGGTGTATTACGTCTGTTAAGTATAAGGTGCTAATAAATGGACATCCAAGAGGCCAAATAACACCAAATAGGGGGCTCATATAAGGGGACCCACTTTCTTCTTATTTGTTTATTCTATGTACACAAATTTTGATAACAAATCTAAGGAAGGCAGAAGAAATGAAGGAAATTACAGGTCTCAAAGTAGCTCGGGCAAGTCCAGCGGTTTCTCATCTACTCTTTACAGATGATAGCTTATTTTTTTGCAAAGCAAGTAGTGAAGAAAGCCGGGTTTTGTTGCAAATTTTGAAGGAGTATGAGGCAGCATCTGGACAACAAATTAATTTTGCGAAATCTTCGATACAATTCAGACACATAGTGGATGCAGGGGTTAAGGCTGAGATACACCATATTTTGGGGATTGAGAAGATTGGAGGAATGGGGACATATCTAGGTATACCAGAGAGTTTAGGGGGAGCTAAGACAAATATTTTTAGTTTCTGATAGACAGACAGAAAAAAAAATAAATGAATGGAACTCAAAGTGGCTGTCAAAAGGGGGTAAGGAGGTTCTTATAAAGTTTGTAGTCTCGGCGATGCCTATGCACGTGATGTCCTGTTTTCGTCTGCCAAAAGGTGTACAAACAAATTGTCTAGTGCGGTATCCAATTTCTGGTGGAGTAATAATGGACAAACACGAGGGATGCATTGGCTGGCTTGGAAGAAACTCTGTGAACATAAGAATGATGGTGGTTTGGGTTTTCGTGTTCTTGAGGATTTCAACACGGCGCTATTGGCAAAACAACTCTGGCGTTTGATGGATAATCCATAATCATTATTCTCACGGGTCTTTAAATGACGTTATTATCGGAATGCTACTCCTTTGGACCCCATCAAATCCTACTCTCCTTCCTACGGATGGAAGAGTATAGTGTCGGCTCGACCTCTAGTTAACAAAGGGCTTATTAAAAGAGTTGGTTCGGGGATCTCTATTTCAGTTTGGGATGATCCTTGGATTCCAGCGTCTCGCCCGAGGTCAGCTAAGGGAAACAGGATAAATTTTTACCCGTATCTTTGGGTGCGGGATTTAATGACTCCCGGAAGACCAACGTTGAATCTTCCACTATTTAATCAACTTTTTGATAGTAGGGATGTATCTCTAATCATGGGGATTCCGACCTCACATTTGGATAAACCGGACTATATGGGATGGTTTTATACAAAGACGGGGCGGTACACAGTTAAATCTGGGTATACAATTTCTCAAGAGAACCTGGATGATGACAGTATGATACCTTTTGGCCCAGACATACGTCGCGTACATGTACAAGCATGGAAAATACCTTGCACCCAAAAACTTCAACATTTTCTATGGCAAATCTTAACAGGATGTATTTCTGTGGGAGAACGCTTACGCAGCTGAGGTCTACAGATAGACCCACAATGTATGAGATGTGGCATGGCTGCGGAAACGATTAATCATATGGTTTTTGAATGTCCCCCGGCGTTACAGGTTTAGGCATTATCCCCAATCCCAACAGCCATTAACCGGTTTCCAACAGAAGGTTTGTTTACAAATATAGCACATCTATTCGGGAATTTGCCAAACGATGATAGAATGGGAATGTACCCTTGGTTAATTTGGTTTATCTGGAAGGCCCGCAACGACAAAGTTTTCTCTAACGGAGATTGGGATCCCCATGAGATTATAAGTCACGCGGGCTTTGGCCTAGGCATTGGCACAGGAACGACATGACGGGGTGGGTCTGGTTTTAAAGACAACGGTGGAGACAACCAGAATGGGGGATAGATGTCAGGTGGATGGATCTTGGAAAGAAACGGACCCCCAAGCGGGGCTCGGATGGTATAATTTTAATATGGAAACAGGCGAGAAGCTATTGGGCACATGTAATCTGTGGAGGGGAGTTTCTCCCCTTCAAACAGAAGTGGAGGCCCTGTTATGGGCAATGCAATGTATGCTACGGCATAACAAGTTAGTAATGGTGTTTGAGACGAATTTGTCCGATGTGGTACAGATGGTGTCTAAACCAGAGGAGTGGCCAGCTTTTGCAGTACTTTTAGAAGAAATTGACAGATGTAAAAGGCGTTTTCTTTCTTTCTCCATCACGCATATACCAAGGACCAACAATACGAAGGCAGACAAGTTAGCACAGAGTGCTCGAGCTCTACCTACTAGTGTGTATTATGTAAACTCTGTTTCCCCAACTTGGATTTCTGAGTTGTAGAAGCAGAGGCTGTTGACAAAAAACAAAAAAAAAAATTGTTTACTCCTACACTGAATACCACATAATATTATTAAGCTTGATGCGTACAACGAGAGCTTGACACGTAAAAGTTTTATAACTCATCAAATCACAACATATGTTATTATAATATTGAATGTATTAAGATCATAACATGTGTTATTAAATAAAATGATAAAATTTGCTAATTAAAAAAAAAAAAAGACAATAAAAACAGTTAAAAAAGCAAATAAAAGATTGATCCTTATGGAAAAAGAAAAAAAATAAACAATAAGAAAATAAAAAATTATAAAGAAGAACAATAACATCAGAAAAAAGGAAAATTAATAATTAAAAAAATAATTCTTATGACAAAAATAAAAATATGTGATATTTAATTAAAAATAAAAATTCAGAAGAAAGAACAATCTAAAGTAGGAAACAATAAACAAATAATGAAAAAGGTTAATCCTTATGGAAAAAGAAAAAAAATTATTAAAAGATTTATCGTGTTATAGAGGATAAAAATATAGTTCCGGTTATGACGAATACTGTTGATAAGATGAACCGAGAAGCAAATTGTTTCTCAACATGTTCTTCAACTAAATTTTATATTTTAATGATGACTCTAATTCAGTTGTTGAGTTTACGAAAAAATTACATATCAAAAAAAACATTTCTAATGGTGCAGTTTTTAATTTTAGTTATTTTTATAAATGATGAGATTTTGTGTTTTTTTGTTTTTGTATTTTTCACTATAAAACGTAAAACACTAAATTATAAATCTCGCATATACGCGGGAACTGATCTAGTATTAATATAAATTAACAAATATATACTATTATTATTAAGTCATTTTTTTGGTAAAACCATTTTTTATTAAGTTTATAACTACAAAAACATCATGAGTATTTGATGAGTAAAGTGTGAAATAAAAGAATCCTAAAAATAGCCGTTTGTTTCTTAATCTCCACCTCATCGTTTGATATGTCAAAACATTTTTTATTTGCTTGTGTGGTTGCGAGAGAGAGGAAAGTGAACGTAAAAGAAGGAAGGCACGAAAACAACACAAAAGGATTTGGTTGGTTTGCCTTCATAATGCTAAATGACAGATGCATACGGGTAAGAAGGCGTGACTCCCTCTCCTCCCCATCCCTTTCGATTTCCTATTTATATATTTAATTTATTTCACTAAGAATCTCATCATCTCACATTGTCGATCGATGGAGGGTCCGTCTAAAAGCCATAAACGCAAGAAAATAGGCGAGCATATGATGAAGAACAAAAAGAAACATGTGATCAACAACATTATCAACATGAAACAAGAGGAAAACAAGATGGACATGAAGAGATCAAGCGGGACAAATGATAAATGCGAGCATGAGAGTTTTGGAGTGTTTGAATTCCCGTGGATGAAGGAGAGCATGATCTCAACCTCGCTTGATTGGAGTCTACCCGAATTTCCTTTTCCGGTCATAAATGATGGGAATGAGTTATTTGAAGAGATTAGTGAAGTGAGATGGCCAGTGAAACGGGTTAGTAATGATAGGTTAGATTTTGAAGACTTTGAATGCATTTGGAATTTTATTTCTGATTAGATTGAAACATTTGTTAGTGTTGTACTTACAATTGCATTGGCACTAGGTCTAGAACAAACAAGAATTCCAAGGAAACCTTTTATTATGATTTTTTTTATTATTTGTTCTTTATGTGTTTTTGTTGAGATGTAAAAGAGAGTAGAAGGGAACAGTAGAAAATTTGCGATTCATATACAATTAAGTGGATACATTTCTTTCGGTGAAGATACTAAAAACAACAACAATTCTTATTGAAGTTTGCCAAAAATAAAGGGAATTCCCTGGTTTGTGTACTTATACTGAAATAACCAAGTTTTTTTTTTAAATAATAATAATAATTTTTAAATAATACGGCCTTAAACACTAAATCAATTTAGTAAATAAGTAATTCAACCAATAATTATTCCAAAATAATTAAAAGTTAGCAACCTAAAAACAAGGTTCCACTAGACTAACAAATGAAACAAAGAAAAACTCTAACATCCTATCATCCTTTTCTCCGGCCTTGATTCAGCGATCACACATTTCTTTTACCAGCATTACATGAGAAAAATAGATGCTTAAATATTTCATAAATACTTAGTCCTCCCCTCTACATGCCAATTACGCACATACTAAACAATAGCAATAACAAAAATAATTAACAAACATAAACCACATAACAACAATAGTGTCGAGACGCCCCCGGTGTCGACGAGTGTCGCTCGTCACCGACTCGCAGTGTCGATAGACACCAAATGGTGTCGCTCGACACCGACTCGCTGAAACGAAACCCAGAACGACAAACAGTGCGAAAACACATAAACAATACAAAACATCACAATAACACAATTAAACACACTAATCAACACCAAATCATCACGATCTCAACCAACAATCAATAATTCTAGCATTTATGAGCCTACGGTCCCGAACTCACCTCGAAACGGATTGAAACAGAGAAAAACAGATTGTTATAAGCAAAATCAACCAAACTCAAATGGTTCGCCAAATGGCCACCCCAGTCCAGCACACACATCCTCAAAAATCCTCCAAGGTCTTAATAGTCCTCTCTAACTGCCCATTAGTCTACGGATGATATGCACCTTATACTCATATGTACTCATATGCACCTTAGTGCCCATCTTGCCTGAAAAGCTCTCCAAAACTTTGAAGCGAATATGGGATCCCGATCTGACACAATACTGGCTGGCCCACTATGCAGCCTCACTATCTCCTTCATAAATCTCTTAGCCAAAAACAGCCGCTCCATCTATCTTCTTAATGGTCAGAAAATTTGCTGACTTAGTCAACCGGTCCATAATCACGCAGATAGTATCGTAGGTCCGCCAGATAGGTAATCCCACAACAAAATCCATCGTGATCCTATCCCACTTCCACTCTGGAATGGGCAAACTCAGCAGAAGACCACCTGCAACCTGATGCTCAGCCTTAACCAACGAACACGTGTTGCATTTTGAGACCCAATCAACCACATCTCTCTTCATCCCGACCCAGTGATAATACCGCTTGAGATCATGGTACATCTTAGTTTCTCCCGGATGAATCAAGAACTTGCTCGCATGAGCCTCTCTCAGAATCTTGTCTCAACTCCTCGACCTTGGGCACACAAACCCGACCACGAACAAAAATCGTCCCATTTGCAGAGACCTGATACCCAGAACCAACTTCTCACGATGCATCAATCAAACTCTTGTCCCTCTCCTGAGCCACTTTGATCCTACCGAGAAAATCTGTCTGATCAACTGTCTCTAAACGCAAAGGCTCCTGCAAAATAGCACAAAGACGCAAGGTACTGATCTTGCTCACCAAGGCCTCAACATCCTGCTCTCAAGCTGACTCACACCTCCATTGTCTCAAAGCGTATGCCACCTGATTAGCCTTGCCTGAGTGATAGATGATCTCCAGATCATAATCTGCCAAAAACTCAACCCACTGCGTCTATGTCATGTTCAGCAATGGTTGAGTGAAGATATGTTGCAGACTCCTATGATCCGTATACATATGAACTGACAAGACATCCAGTTCTTAAGCGCGAAGACCAACGCTCCCACCTCAAGATCATGCGTAGGGCGATTAAGCTAGCTACCCTGCCACTGCCTTGAAGCATAGGCAATAAATTTACCCTCCTACATCAACACACAACCCAGACCAACTGATATACCTCTATTTTACATGCTTTTTACATGATTTTAGAATGTTTTTCATATGATTTTTGATAGATGTTTGTTCTAAAAGGTAGTTTTTATTGATTTCTAGTACGAAGAGTCTAAGCAGGTCGAAAGATGCATTTTGAGAACAAAACCATAGGATTTGGACTTCATCCTATTTCATACTGCAGCTATCAACTTCTAGAGGGCCTTTAAAACATTTTACTCAACGGATTTCATGAAGACCACTTCGCCGCGATGCCTATGTGCGTCAGATTTCCAATACAATTAGTTTCACACCATTTGGATGAGTAGAAATGAAGTTATGACTGTTTTAATGAAGACGGGTCCAGACCGCCAGAAAACCGGGCATGTACCGCTCTGGGCCTCGTCCGAGTATTTTGGCCGAGCCGGGAAGCATTCAACAAGCATCCAGACAGACTTTGGCCTAGCGGTTTGGCCAACCCGGGAAGCATCGTTCCGCGGTCGAGTCCCATACGACTTACACCACCCATCCCAACATTCGGCCGAGCGTATGGATCAACTCGAGAAGCATCTTCCCGCGGTCGACCAATCTTCACCACATTTCCCATGTGTCCGAGCGTCCTGTCCGACCCGGGAACCATCGTCCCGTGGTTGACCGTCCTCCACCTACTATCTGACAGGAGCGATCAACCAAGCCGTCCGACCCGGGAACCATCGTCTCACGATCGACTGTCCCGCGCAGCATAACAAATCCGTTCGGCCGAACGTACTGTATGACCGAGGAACTATCCGGCCACGATCGTACCTACCGTACCTAGTGACCATCATGACTCGATTTCCAGCCGATCACGCCGAGTGACCATACGAATGTACCGGTGGACATGAGGCCGATTTTAAGCCCGTTTCACATGATTTCTTGGCCCGTTAACCTAATCTCGACTGTGGAAGACCTAGCACTATAAATACACCTTTTTTAGCATCTTTAGTGAGAGAGAGCCGCATATTGTAACACTTCTAGATCTATAGTTTGTTCTTAGAGATTTCAAGGAGAGGATCTCTCCTCATTACCTCAACTTTGGAGAAGTTTTATGAACCTTAATCTATCTATCATGTGTTCTTCATATATATATGTTGTTACTTCGACTATGTGTGAGTAATATACTTGTTAGGTTGGTAGGGTCACTAATTCAATGAGTTGCTTGTTTGATCTTTGATTTCAATGAACTACTAGGGATATCATTAGAGTCTTTGTCTCGTTTTGCTCACCAATTAATGTTGATTGCTTTACCGCGTGCATCTAGTGATATCATCTTAGGTTGATTTGAGCCACGACAGTGCTGTATCATTCGCCGGACATACTCTTTGACAAGCTAGATTTCTTAGACGAACGTTTATTTACTTAACCTAGTGAACTTTATCTGAACTTTCTGGATCTAATGTTTGCATAACTATCTAAGGACATTCCAAAAGTATAGCGATTAGATAAGTTATCATATGAGACGGATCTATCGTCCCATAATCCCTAAACTAGTACTTTATCATTGCTTGCTTCTCTGCGAATTAGCCCCTAATGACCTAGCACTTTTCCCCTATTTCTTACATCAACCTGTACATGCTTTACTTTAGTTCTTGTTACAGCCATCATTCTAATACTTTGTTCTAGCTTGATCTGAAATCTACATTTTCAAAGTGTACTCAATAGCCAGTCCTTGTGTTCGATAACCCCTACTTCTACGATCTGTGCACTTGCAGGATTAAGAAAAGTTGGGTAAAACCTGACCCACATCAAGTTTTTGGCACTGTTGCCGGGGACTAGTACTTTTGGATTTTAACTAGGATCTAGTCTAGAAAATCTATTTTCTTTTGTTTTGCTTTTGGTTTTTCAGCATTTAGGTATATGACTAGAAAGTCTAGCTAGGAAAATATAGCCGAAGAAGTTCTGGAAATAGACAGACTTGAGAAGACACTTAAAAGAAAAAATCTCAAGAGATGGCTCAAGCCCTTTCATGACGCTGAAGTAGCTAGAGCTGCCGCTAAAGGTCGAGATCCACCTCCACATTTGACACCATAACATCATGTTGGGGATGCTAACATGATGTAGTTGTATTTTGCTTGGTTTTAACCCTTCTTTTATGCATCTTTTGCATAGTTTCATTCATCTTTAGTATCATATCTTGTTCCTTTTCTCTTCTTTTGCATACATTGTAGTTTAGCATTGCATTTGCATACATATGCATCCTTTTGGAGCATTATGGAGCACTTGGGACGTGAGGAGCAAGGAAGGACTTGATGGCGGGTTTAGATTGCCTCAAATTTTCACAATTTATAAACCCAACTAATGAGCTGCAAGTGCACAGCCGTGTTGTAGTCGGGGTCGAACACGAGGAGGAAGTGTTCTCGCTTAACACCTTGTGAGATTGGTTTGTAGCTAGCTCGCAATATGAGGTGGTTTTGGACCTAGAATGAGAAAACAAAACAAAAGAAATGTGAGTGAGTTTGTAAACAATTTAAAACAAGAGTTAGGCAAAGGACAATCATATGGAGCAATGATGAAAAGATAGTTGCATGGGATGTGTGTAGAGCCGTCTTGAACATGAATCACTAGTGTATGGTTTTCCACTGTCGTGGCTCCAACCACTATGTTTAAAACAACCTAATATACTCAGCTTTCGTTGGCTATTAGAATTGCAAACATGCATTAAAGGTTCAAGATTCAATTGTTCACAATAAACCATAACTCAGCTTTCGTTGGCTATGATCTATTGCTCACCAAATACTAGTTTTGAGATCTAGATTCAGCACTGTCGTGGTTCTATTTCTCTAAGATCAGATTACTAGATGTACGGTAGAGTAATCATGCATTAAGCTCAAGTAAAGGTGAAGATCCATAAGATAAATCCCAATAAGTTGCAACACAATCAAATCATCACGGCCACCATAGATCTCCTCGGCCTAACTAAGAGATCTACTCGGCCATGATGCAAACAAGCAAGCAAAGCATGATTGTAAACATTATGCAAGTATTAAAAGAGATAAAGGGATGAAGAAAGCTTCTCTATTGATGAACAAAGTCGGATTCTCCCTTGAAAACTCTTAAGATCAAGTTTATAGAAATGGAAACAATGAAAAAGAAAGAACAAGAGTTGAGCGGCGCCTCCTTCTTCTTGGACGATCTCCTAGGGCTTCTCTCTCTTCTCTCTCTCTCACACGTAACTCTTTGATAATTTTCGGACTCTCTCTCTCTTCTTCAGCGGCTAAAAACATGTATATATGGGCGAAGTCGCGTAGGGTTTTCTTCATGCCGGAAAAGGAAAGTTTCCATGCGCCGAGCCTTCTTCTCCACGTCGTGTATGGGCCGACATTGTACCAAGGAAAGCTCCAAACATTAGCCAGGCCTCTTCTCTATTCGATCAAGGCCTTTGGCGCTGCTGCTCGGGCCATTAGACACTCCAAATCCTCCATGGGCTTCGTTTACTCGCTTACCGGACATGTCTCGGTAGAAAATAAGTCTAGGCCTCATAGTTGATCCAAATGGCTTCATTCCACTTCGACGTGATGCATGACTCAAGTATCTATCTTTCCATATCAAGATCGTAACTTTTGGACGTCGGGAACTCCTCCGCGCGCGGCCAAACTTCCGAAGCTTCGTTCTGCGCGCTAGCGAGAACTAACACTTGGAGATAAAATGATCTTCTTGACTTGGAAACTTGCATGGATCTTGATTTAGGGCTCTTTTACTCCTTTTTGCATCCTTTTTGATTATTTCACCTACAAAGACTTCAAATCCCACAAATACAAGAAAACTACCTCTAAAGGCAAAGAATCTTGCAAAAACCGTTTGAAAACATAGTAAATTATATAGTAAAATCATGTAAAATATGGTGATATCAACTCCCCCAGACTTAGCCTTTTGCTTGTCCCCAAGCAAACTAAGCAGGAAAAGAGGTTTGAAAACGTGAGAACTCTCAAATCTTTTGGAAATCCAAATTGACTTATGCTTTAGTAATCCACATGAAACAGCATTGGCAAGTTTTGAATTAAGAACAAAGTACATACCATGAGTTTTGCGATTTTCCCAAAGCGGTCCACCTCTCCTTGGACAATCCAATTCGCCACCCTTGACTCCTTTCATTTCTAAAGGTGTGGTCTCAACTAGGGAGTATCGATCAGCCGGCTTTAGACTTTACTCATCCCCTTGTTTGGCACTTGTCTTTTTACTCCATGTTTCTCCTCTCTCTCTTCTCACTTCTTTGAGTTGATTCATCCCTTTTTTAGGGTAGCGAAGTATTTTTTTATTCAACTCCTTCTCTTTATTATAGAGGTTTTGCTTGGATCTTCCACAGACGCGAGTATTGATGGTGTTTGCCACCGAATCCCCGGTTGCTTGGATTCATAGGCCTTCCATAGACGCGAGTATTGATGGTGTTTGCCACCGAATCCCCGGTTACTTGGACCTTACGCTTTTTCTTTAAATTTGAAGGGGAGAGAGAGGGAAGCACGAACTCACTAAGACTTTTTCATTTGATGGAGAGGATGAGGAATCATGCCATTTGTATGCCAAGCCCCTAGCTGAGAAGATTAAGTTCATTAAGGGCGGAGTCAAAGATGGATCCTTCTCAAGTCTTTAGAGATGTAGGCGTTTTTGGTAGATCGATCAACTCATAGTGCACCTGTGGTAAGATGTATTGCCAAGAACTGCTCAATGGTCACTTAAACATTAGTACAACATGGTTAGATCCAAGATAAGGTCATGATTCTCGACAAAAATTTTGACTCAATAAAAACGACTCGATAAAAGGGAAAAATGCAAATGAAAATGCCAAAATGAACAAACATTGTTAGTAATCCCCCCAGACTTAACTTGCACCGTCCCGGTGAAATCAAATCGGATTAAGAGAGGCATAACATGAAGTTCAAATGAAAAATTGAAAAGAAAAAGGTTTAGGATGATGTTACCAAATGTCGACCAATTTATAATGAAGATCAGTTCTGGTTTGGGTCATTCTACACTTCTTTAGGCAATATTGGTCGGTGAGTTTTTAATTTCAGGCCTTGGTTTCCGCCGGTTTGTGTTTTGGCCGAGATTGGTATATTCGGTCGGCCAAAATGTGGTGCTGTGAACTACAGAACAAACCGTCAAAAATTTCATGACCTATATTGAAATTTCATCGACCAACCTGGTATTTTAGCCTCTGGTGAAGTTTGGGAGCATTTGTACGAGCGGATTGAGACTTCCTTCACAAAATGGTCAAGTCGGCTCCGGGAAGGAGTTTCCTTGGCCATGTGAAGTTTGGCTCGTTCCTTTTCGTTTCTTCCTGCATAAAAGTGTTAGTTAAGCTCAAAGAAGAGTTTTCCAACCGGTTGGCGCGCCTATGCCGTGATTTGGTTTTGTCGGCCATATTGCTTGCGCGCCATCGGCCAGAATGGCTCCGTCGTCTATCTCATGATCCGTGATGATTTCTCCGTCCTATCTTTTGGATTTGCCGACCAAAATGTGATTTTATGGTCGCCTGTGAAGTTTGGTGGACTTTGGTCACGCCGTTTAGGAGTTGGCCGTAGTTGGTCTCCTTGTGCGCGGTATGGCCGAGAGAAATGTCCGGATTGAATTTCTTCAAATCCACTCGGGCCAATTGAGATTTTCTTCGACCGAATTGTTTTAATAACCCTCCTGTGTCATTCCCAAGTGGTGGCCGCCTTGTTTCGTGTGATGGCCTATGTATCTCCTTTTAACCTCCCTTTGGCCGCCATATGCATGTTGGTTTTGAGGTGGTTATAGGTTTGCTCTATTTCTCCTTCCTGTCAAATGGTTAACTCCTTGCAAAACACTTGAAATCATGATTAGATGGTTTCTCAGATTGTGATCCTCAAGTGACCAACTTGAAGTTCACAATCCAAGAGATTAAAGCACAAACTATAAATTCTTATTTGGTCTTGGTCAATGATCCAAATTTCAAACTATAGTTCAATCTCTTGTAATTTCAGTGAGCAGAATGAGTTTTGACAAGTGATTATGTATTCTTTCCAATCATCAAAAGTAAATCAAGTTAAACCATGAATATATTTGATAAAGTGCAATGGTTTAAACGATTTTTCAAGTGAAGATCAAGAGTGATTAGAAATGAATACTAGGTGAGAATTTACTTACCTTTTGGAAGAGAAACGCCTTGTACAAGGGTGGGCTCATTGGGTGGGACACTTCCATTGTTTGGTCTCCTTTGGGTCTTCATCCTAAGAAAATATTTTTGTATTTTTGTTTGATTTTTGAAAAACTCCTGCAAAATAGAAATAATAGTTAAAAACCATATGGGTTGCCTCCCATAAAGCGCTTTTGTTTTAAGTCATTTAGCTTGACTCCTTTTCTTTCTTTCAATCGTGGTGAAGAGTGGCTGAAGGGCAAAGGATCCCTTTAGCTTCTCCATTCTCCGGTTCAGTGGATTCTTGTGGTGGTGTTGTCGCGCCATAGTCATCTCTCACATCATCTTTGAAAACCAATGCCTTGGGGAAAAGCTTCATAGTTCTCTCAAGCTTCTCTTCAATGGATTGGTCACCTTTAAGCTCCGAATCTTTTGGTGTAAAGATTCTTATCTTGTGAAAGAGATTAGGTGCACCATTAGTCTCCTCTTCAGCTCCATACTCGTCAAAGGTTGGAAGTAAGATGGAGTTGATTCCTTAAAGACATTTTCATGCCTCGGCTCCAATGTTTTCTTCTTCTCCTTTGGTTTTGGGTAGCGCTCACTCTCTCTTCTTTCTCCATGCATCACGCTTCTTTCTTAGGCATGAGAGTGGCTTCTTCTGGTGGTAGCTTGGTCGCACTTGGCACTGACCTGAAATTTACACTTGGGAAAAAGATATCTTGCCGGATGTGGCCAAAAGATAGATGATTCCCAAAGTAGTTTAGGACCGCTCCAGCTGTAGCAAGGAATGGGGTTCCAAGAATCAGTTGATTCCTCTTTGAGCCTTCCCAAATCATGACTTGAAAGTCAGTTGGGACCGATCGACCCCCTATTTCCATCATGACATCTTCAAGCATTCCATAGGTTCCATGCACGATAGATCCGCGAACTCGACTCTTATCTTGGGGCTCTTGAATTCCTTGAATCCCAAATCTTTTGCAAGTGCAAGAGACATTAGATTAACATTAGCACCAGTATCACATAGGCAATCGTGGAGTTGAATGCCATTGATACTTGAAGTTATCACAAACTTCCCCGGATCTTCTTGTTTTTGTAGTGGCTTGCCTTCAAGTCTTCTCTTGTAAGCTCTTCTTGATTCCCAACTGTATCTCTCCGGTTTGTGCCTCTCCTTAGGCTCATTTTCTTCTTCTTCCCCTTGAGATAGTGTAGGAACAATAGTGCCATCTATAGATGAGACAACACTACAAAATTTTTGAGTGTTTACCTCATTTTGTTTCTTGGCCGCCTCGGCTGTTTGAGCGATTTGCACCTCAAGCTTTTGAACGTGAGTAGAGAGAGACCCAAACTTGCTGCTTAGATCACCAAACATGTGATCAAGCTTCTCATATAGGTTCTTGGTGATCAATCTCTGCTCCTCCATGTATTTCTTCAACGCCACGTCAACCTTCTCTCCGGTTTGGGTTGGATTTGTTTCTTGAGAAAAAGTGAATGGTTGCTTCACTTGGTACATCCCTCTTGGATAGACTTGTTGTGGCTTGGATTGGTATTGGCCTCCTTGATACGCTCCTTGATTGGGGTAGACTTGGTCATTTGGATTCTCCACATTGTTGCTCCGGTATGATAGGTTTGGATGCGCGCGAAATGGTGGATTGAATCCTCTATTCCCATAGTTTCCTCCAATGTAGTTGACTTCCTCTAGATTCTCTTCAGTGCCATCTCTCATGAAATCCATAAGAGTGTCTTCATTTGTGGCTAGGGCATCTTCAATGGCGTGAACTCCTTGTCGGCTTTTAAGTAGTTGTGAAACCATGTTCCTTAGCTCCGAGATTTGAGCTGATTCTGATGAGCTCGTGGTCTTCACGCTTCTATTGTAGTCAGGGCATGCATTGGCATCACTAGCAGCGAGATTCTCAATCAAAAGCTTTGCCTCCGGCACCGACTTGGTCATGAAATTACCATTGCTCGCGGTATCGAGAGAAAGCTTGTATTTATGATCAATCCCATTGTAAAAGATGTTCCAAAGGTTACCTTCTGAAAAGCCATGGTTAGGGCAGCTTCTTGTGTACTCCTTGAATCTCTCCAAAGCTTCATAGAATGACTCCATTGAATCTTGCTTGAAACCAGAAATCTTGCTCCTTATAGAGTTGGATCTTTGCTTAGTGTAGAATTGGTTCAAGAAAGCTCCCTTGTATTCATTCCATGTTGTAATGGACTGAGGTGGTAAAGATTTTACCCATCTTAGCGCCTTGTCACTTAGAGAAAAAGTGAATAGCTTGCACTTGAAGTAATCCGGTGATACTCCATTAACACGAGTTGTGCTACATATCTCCTCAAAGGTGTCGACGTGATCAAGAGGATGCTCAGTGGGCAAACCATGGAATTGGTTTTGCTTCACCAAGGCAATGATCTGCGGTTTGATCTCAAAATCGTTCCTTGGAGGTAGAGGCGGTCGGATTGGATTCCGATCCATAAAGAAGGCATCGGACGAATCAAAGTCTCCCATAGTTTGGTGCCTTGGATGCTGCGCGTTTGGCACTCTCCTTGGAGGTGCGTGAGGTTGGTCTTGAGGCATCCCTTGGTTGTCACCGTGACGATGATGTCCATTTGCAAACGCCGGTGGTGGTCGCGGCGGGTTAAGAGGTGGCTGTAGCGGCTCAGCTGCATCGGGCGCGTTCGGATTGGGTGGAGGAACGTCTCTGGCCGGTGCTGGCTGGTCAGCTCTAGCTTCTGCTGGATTAGGAGGATCATTGGCTCTCCTCTCTTGGTCGGGCGGGTTGTGTGGCCTATTTGGCGCGCCTTCTCCGCCTGGATTCATTCTTTCTCTCCTTAGTCGCCTAAGTGTGCGCTCAAGTTGGTCAATGTCAAGATCTTCTTCAATGGTTGTATTTGGATTGGACCTTCTTGTCATGCACCTTAGAAACACACAAAGAGAAGAGTTAAGTAAAATTTTTATGATTTTTAAGATTTTATGAAAAACAAAAACAAAGAAAAGTGAAAGATGAGATGAGCTAGTCTTGAAATCAATCAAGAGGTGTGAAGGAAAAGCAACTCCTCCCCGGCAACGGCGCCAGAAAGCTTGATGGCGGGTTTAGATTGCCTCAAATTTTCACAATTTATAAACCCAACTAATGAGCTGCAAGTGCACAGCCGTGTTGTAGTCGGGGTCGAACACGAGGAGGAAGTGTTCTCGCTTAACACCTTGTGAGATGGTTTGTAGCTAGCTCGCAATATGAGGTGGTTTTGGTACCTAGAATGAGAAAACAAAACAAAAGAAATGTGAATGAGTTTGTAAACAATTTAAAACAAGAGTTAGGCAAAGGACAATCATATGGAGCAATGATGAAAAGATAGTTGCATGGGATGTGTGTAGAGCCGTCTAGAACATGAATCACTAGTGTATGGTTTTTCCACTGTCGTGGCTCCAACCACTGATGTACTTGCATTTTACATAGTTTTAGCACATCTTTTATGCATCTTTTGCATAGTTTTAGCTTCCATTTGCATCATATCTTGTTCCTTTTCTCTTCTTATGCATTCATGTTAGTTTTAGGTTGCATTTGCATACATATGCATGTTTGGTCCTTTGAAATAGGTCTTTTGGAGCATTCTGGAGCATATGGGACATAAGGAGCATGGAGGGACTTGGCACATGGAAGCAGCTCAACTGGATACGCAAAGGAAGAAGGGAGAAGCCATCTTGAAGACCAGCTCGACCGTCCTACTCGACCAACCGGTCGAGTTCCTCAACTCGACCGGCCAAGCTTCAACTCGATCGAGCTGAGAAGTCAAAGTCAAACCCGAAAAATGTTGCTTCCCCCTTGACTTTCCTTTGACCCTAAACCTAATCCTCTTTGTATTTAAAGGCTCTAAGCCACGAAAAAACCACCAAGCTTTAGATTATTTTGTTTTAGTTTCTTTTAATTTATTGTCTTTTACTTTTTAGAATCTAATCCCATCTTTGTGTTCTTGAAGCTCTTGCTTCTTGAATCCTAGATCCTGGATAATCTCTTTGTATTTGCACTTGCTTATTTCAATAAAAGTTGTTTAATTTCATCTCCTCTTTCTTATGATGTCTCTTTTATTGCATTTGCTTGTGTTTACATTCATGTGTAGTGAGTAGTTACCCATTAGGGTTTGAGATGGGATAGATTAGAGGTTTCATATGCTTAATCCTTCTAGCTTATGGTCTTAATCTAGATTCTCTCTCTTTTGGATAGATCTTAAGGCTACATGACCACTACCCCTGGCTTGTAAGTCCTTAGGCGATCCCCACACGAAGTGATGGCATTCGCTGGAAAAGATCCACTAAGAGCTCCAATATCTCTTGCTCTAGACAATAGAGGTCTAAGGGGTTGGATGGATTAGTTTGGGCAATGATCCTATGGCCTCCAAGGTTTGATTCTCACTGGCTAACCCCCTGTTTCTGAGATCATTCCTTGGTTGATAGCCTCACCTTGGGAAAGGGTTGGCTAGGCATTGAGAAGCCCAATATCAAGAGAAGCCTTGATACAAGGAGTTTTAAGAGCTAGATTGATTAAGTGTAGATTCCTTTGATTGCAAAACCCTGTCTTGAACCCTAATTCTCTCTTTATCTTGTTAAAGTCGTCACCTTTAGCTTTTTTGTCTCAACTCGACCCTAAACTCGATCGAGCTGGTACTCTGTTCCACTCGACTCGAGTCCTTGGTCGAGCTACTTCACTGCTTTGTTTACTTTTATTGCACTGCATTTTCATTTTTAGGTTGTTAGTGTTACTTCAAATCTATAACTGCTTGCTTGACTTTCTGGTTGTTTCATATTCTCATAGAGTGACAAGTTTCCCATTTTGGATTGATAACCTCTTATACTTCAATGACTATGATGGTTAAGAGGAATTGTTGATGTGTTTGTGTTTGCACCATTTCATCTTATTACCCTGTTGCATTCCACCTCATATCATCTTCATTCATATCTTTCACATCCACACACAAAATCCTATCATCAATTTGGCGCCGTTGCCGATTTGGGAATATTTTTGTTGCATTTGAGTTTCAAACATACTTGGACGATCAAGCTATACCACCCCTGTTCTATTGTACTGCTGGGTTTTTGTCTCTTTTTGCAGGTGTATGCGAACTCGATCGAGTCGGTCTACTGAAGACTTGGTCGAGCTAGACTTACAACGGGTAGAAAGAGGGTTCAGAGGTCACAGAGGGTACAAGAGGAACCTGAGGTGCTTGTTGCTGATACAATGGATGTACCAGAGGGGAATGGAAACCCTTTGGGCATGGACTCGGTCGAGCTAGGCAAACTCGACCGATTGGTCAAGGAGATGCTCCAAACCGCCACCAACAGAGACAAGGGATTGTTCCACCACCAGTGCAGAACCACAACTTTGAGATCAAGCTGGGAATGATCAACCTTGTCCAGAACAAGATGTTCCATGGATTGCCAAGTGAAGACCCCATTGACCACCTTGATGAGTTTGATAGGCTTTGTGATTTGACAAAGATCAATGGTGTCTCTGAAGATGCCATCAAGCTGAGACTCTTTCCTATGTCTCTAGCTGACAAAGCTCACCAATGGGAGAAGAGCTTGCCCCATGGCACAATCACCACTTGGGATGAATGCAAGAAGGCCTTTCTTGCTAAGTTTTTCTCCACCGGTCGCACAGCCAAGCTTAGAGGAGAGATATCCAGCTTCATCCAGCGAAACAATGAGACATTCGCAGAGGCTTGGGAGAGGTTCAAAGGCTACACAAGTCAGTGCCCACACCATGGATTCAACAATGAATCACTACTCTCCACTCTTTATAGAGGATGCTTGCCTAGGTATAGGGAGATGCTAGACACAGCTAGCAATGGGAACTTCCTCAACCAGGATGTAGATGATGGCTGGCAACTTGTGGAGAACATAGCTAACTCAAATGGAAGCTATGGAGAAGAGTATGATCGCACCAACCGGAGCTCGACCCACCACTCGATCGAGTCAGACGAAAAGTTGAGAAAAGATGTTAAGGCATTGAATGAGAAGTTGGATAAGCTGATCCTAGCTCAGTCCACAATGAAGAAAGTCAACTTTGTGTCTGCTGAGGAGATGGAACCAGTCCAAGAAGGGGAGGATACACAATTTGCTGAGGTGTGCTACATGAGCAATGGGCAAGGAGGTTACAACAAAGGATACTATAATTACAAGTCCAACCCTGCCATGTCATACCGCAACACTGATGTTGCTAACCCTCAGGACCAAGTCTATCCTCAACAACAAGCAGCTCGATCGAGTCAAGTGCCACAACATGGGTATGGTCAAAAGAACAATTACCAAGGACCACAAGGCACTTTCCCTGGACAACAAATGAATATCCCACCAGGCTTCCCCCACCAACCGCCCCAGCCTGCACCTTCACAAGAGAATGAGCTCAAGCAATGCTAAAGCAACTACTTCAAGGGCAAGCTGATGGGGTAGTGGACACAAGCAAGAAGCTAGCTGAAATAAACTCTAAGATCGAGAACCTCAACACAAGGGTTTACTCTCTGGAGAATCATGCTTCTTCTGTTGCTGCTGCTACAAAGCAAGGACAACTACCTGGTAAAGCTATTCAGAACCCCAAGGAACAGTGCAAGGTCATCTTCACTCAAGAAGGACTTGTTGAAGAAGAGGATCAAGAAAGGGTCATTGAAGATTTTTGTTTACTGCTGAATGATGAAGAGATTGTTGCTGCTGAGGCTCCTGGAGTCCAGATTGATCAACCAGAAGTGCATGCACCTACTGTGGCCATTCACACTTCACCAGTTGAGCTCGCACGACAAGCTCGATCGGCAGCTCGATCGAGTCCAACTCTAGCTCGATCGAGTCCGACCTCTTCTGTCCGACAGCCTGTTTTGCTTGATCCTTATCAACCGGTTGCCGCTTCCTCGTCTCGCCTACTTAGTCAAGGTCACAAGGAAGTGATTCACAAGTTCAGAAGAGATCTCAGTGGGATTGGAATTGAGTTGCCTCTATGGATAGCATGAGTGAGGCATTTGATCAAATGCAAATGGTCAAGGATGTTCTAGCCAACAGTGATAAAGTTTCAGAGGTCCTACAAGAGTCTACTCATCAGTTCAACCTGCTTACTTCACCCACCTTCCTACCAAAGGTCAAGGATCAAGGGAAATTCACTCTCCCTTGCACACTTGGGCATCTTGAGATTGACAATGCCTTAGTGGATTCTGGAGCAAGCATCAATCTGATCTCTCTCTCCATGGCAGAGAAGCTAGGCATTGCTGGAGCCTTGCAGCGCCCTACTACTTCAATCATGTTTGGAGATGCAACTTCTAAGTCTCCTCTTGGAGTGTTCAAGAACTATCACTTGAAAATTGGAGAATGCATCATCCAAACTGATCTCACTGTGATGGAAATGGAAGAAGAGAAGGATTTGCCTTTTATTGGGAACCCCTTTCCTTAGTACAGTTGGCGCTTCAATAGACTTTCACAAGCAAGAAGTGATCCTTCACAAGGTGAATAGTTTGGTGTCATATCGCTTGCAGCCTAGAGGTTCAGACTTTTGTGCCACAATTGACAGTACCAATCTCAGTTCTAAGAGTCATGGAGCTACAAAGGTTGTGAAGGAAAGGGTTGACAAGGAACCAAGAGTTGGGAAGGATAAGGATGAGAGAGGACCAAGGATTGAGAAGCCACGTCTTGAGAGGGCTAGAGTTGAGAAACCACGATCTGATAGGCCAAGAGCTGAGGACTTGTTCAAGCCCCTTGTGTGCTTGATGAAGAGAGCCTTCAAGCTTTGTTTGATGAGCCACTAGGAAGGGCTCTAAAGAAGGGGAGGATGCAGCCTCTAAGGCAAGACCAGGAGATAAAAGAAAGGATCCACCAGCTCAGGCCCCTTCAGTCAAGCCATCTCAGCTCACAATGACTTTGTTCCCCACCAAGTTTA